CACCACTGAATCCTGTCAGTCTTGTAGGTAATGGTTACAAACAGAAATCTTTTCCTTATCCTTTTGTTCCCCCCCCCCCCTTTTTTTATTAGCTGCTAGGCGCAGTCATGTTTAGTTCCTAAGAATCATGACCTGTGGCTAAAATGCTATTGTATTTCTCGATCTAAATGGAGTCGGGGAAGAAGCTGTGCATTAATTCTCCCTCCTTGTACTGGGGCAAGTTGGTTTTAGATTTCATAGGTCAGGGTGGTTCCATAAGTCCATCAATACACAGTGCGGGGCAAAAGTGGGTTTACAGCTGTTTATAGGGAAAATATACAATTACTAGTAAATAATAATACAAGAATAAACTCTATTTCACATACTCACAACTAAACTACTTTTGCCCAACCCTGCATATAAATGTTCCTGGCTATGCCCACTAACACAAAGATAACTTATAGTAAGTGGCTCCAAAGCTGGCCTCTCTAGTGACCTCGTGTTTTCAGACAGGTGTGGAAGATGCTCACGTGGCCTCGGCCACTGGTACCCACATGTATGTCTTCAGCATTAAGTGCTGAGGTTTCTCTAGACCTCCTTTCCGTTGTCACCAATGCACGCCTTTTCGCCATTCTTTCACAGCTGGTCTCAAGCACACATTTCGTCCCAGCCTGTGTCAAGGTAATTTTAATAAACTACAAAAACCTGCTAGGGAGCTGGCAGAAAAGAAGAAGCCTGATTTCTCAGTGGCTCTTAGCATTATGTGGTCATATGAATTGCCTCTATTACCCTAGTCTTAGAAATACAGTGGTAGATGGAGTGAGGGATTTGGTTTAGTCTTGGACATTAGTATAGCACTTGCAGTCAAGTGCATTCTCGCCTTGAAAAGATGTCAGGGAATTTCCGAAGACTTGGAACATGATATAGAAATTTTGCTTATGTTCCTGTTCCTTCTTTTTTTATTCATCAGTTCCCACTAATACTTAAGAAGTGTATTTGAATGCTTCTTGGGCAAAACTCTCAAAAAATATGCCTTTACAGCTTTTATAAGACTCATCCCTATGGGAAAAGCTTCTCAACAAGAGGACACAGCAATACTCCATTTTTATTAATAATGTCAAGCAGTTTGTGCGTCGGGTCATCACTGCAAATTTAACCTCATAAAGAGCAAACCAAGACCAAGAGGGGAGGACAATGCTGCACTGAAGTGTTAACCAGCCATGCTGTGGAAGGAATACAAAAACATTTCTTTCCCACAAGTTATCTTCTTTTCAGCAACCCACCAAATCTCACTCGAGTTCAACTGAACATAACGATTCAAGAAGAAAGCTTCACAAAATCAACACTGAATTCAAACTCACAATGTATTTGTTTCTCTCTACTCCTAAGTAGGGTATTGGAATAGCCAGTGGAATGTCTGACATTTAGATATTTGGGAAATGAAGAAATGTTACTATAGTGACTCCCATCAAACCAGTTGTTCTGTTTGGGTTCTGGAAAACAAAGCAATCACAGTGGAGAGGAAGATGACGGCTGGGTGCAGATGCTCCCTAAAATTTCTTTGCACGTGGTTTGCTGGTCTGAATCACGTCAGGCTGGCCCAGGCATGCTGGCTGCAACACTTCCGGGCACTGGTGCAGATTTAAAGCAATCATCCGGCTCAGCATCTACTTGGCACTTTCTAAACAGCTTTAGGCAGTAGGTCCTTATAAACACGTTTTATAGCATCCAGGCCTTCAACCGTGGGCAAAGGCCACTTAAATAGAATCATAGGATGTGCTCGAAAAGAAAGTGGTTCCAATTTGAGGACTATACTAGTAAATTAGACTTGCTCATTACTTAACTATTAATGTTAAATACATCACAACCTTTGGCAAATATCCATAGTAAAATTTAGAAGTCTTAAAAAAAGGAAAAAAATTGAGTCTTCCAGTTTGCATGAACTGGTACAGATTGAGTTTTAGCTGAGTATACAACTAAGAAAAAGTTGGCCCTTTTATTTCTACATCTTTGCTCAATAAACAAACAAAAACCCCCTAAATATGCTATTTCATGAACTTCCTACTAAGTAGTTTCCATCCTTTAAAATTTAGATTCCAGTATATTTCTTAATTTTACTTGCAGTGTTCTCCCGATCGTCAACCTTAAAACTCTGCTTGCAAACACAAATTCTTTTCTTTTCTGTTCTCTGCATTAGACCCCATCTAGCTCATGAATATTTTAAAAGGTTGTTTATTTCTTTTAGATTCCGAAGTTGATGTGAGGGGTTAATAGACAACTACAGAATTAAGAGATGATGATAGTTTCTCTAGAGTTAATTGGACATAACGCCTTTGTTTCACTTGTTTCACCACCACAAACAGCAGAAGTGTTTCATTTCCCTGCCTGTTTCCCAGTGAGGGTAAAGTACACGCAAACAAATTAGAATCTCTTCTCTTGCTACGAACACCAGGAAGCTGCATTTACAGTGTTGTTTCTCCTTGTGCTCCTTGGAATAACTCCCAGTCATTAAACTGACAGTGCAGCTGTTGTCAGGCAAATTTATTGTAAGGGTTTACAAAATACTAATGTTTAAATAAAGGTAATGCCCGTTTACATTGATAAGAAACTAACAACAATAATTTGGATGTAGAATAAAAAATTCAGTATCATTTCAACCCAGTACTAAAGGACAGGAATGTCTGGTGATAACCAAATGTGGTTGGACAATGTGGGAGACCTCCATCACTGAGCCAAACGAACGTGCGAACGCCTGCTTTAGACCCAGAGACTGGCTCCTCAAGGTGAGCCAGGCTTCCCAGGCACACACTGGAACAAGATGCTGGCTGTTTCTATCAACACCCAGATGACACGTGAGAAAGGGTGAAATTTGTAGCCTTAAGTTTTTCGGAAACACAGTAAATCTGCAATTTATCCATAATTCAAAAAGTAGGGAATAAAAGGAAAAAACAGTATTCGGGTGACTAATAAAGAGCAACTAAATTGGTAGTCAGGTCTGGCTGACTTACATTAGCTCTTCTTACCCCCCAGGCAAGCCCCTCAAACCACTCTGACCATGAGAAATGAGAGCAGGCTTGATATAACTCAGTGGCCTCTTTCAGTTGTGAAGTAAGTATTTTTAAACTTAAGATGGGAGGGAACCTATCTTACTCCACTTTATATTTTAATACACATCACATATGTTGTCTAAATAAACAGCTGTTTAAATATGGTGATATTGCCTAAGAAATTCTTATACTTGAGTCTTGATAAAAATCCTCACACATTGATCAGTAACTAAGATAAAACTGAATTTGGGTCAAGATACATCAACCAATTCAAGACAGAAAACAATGTCCATGTTAAGTTCCATAATGCAATTTGATACTGGACTTACTGTCTTGACCAGTGTGGCTCAGTTGGTTGAATGTTGTCCCACAAAGCAAAAGGTGCTGGTTCAATTCCCAGTCAGGATGCATGCACGGGCCGTGGCCCAGTCCCCCAGCTGGGGCATGTGCAAGAAGCAACCGACTGATGTTTTTCTCACATATTGATGTTTCTGTCACATAATGTTTCTCCCCCCATTACTCCCTCTAAAAATAAATAAAACCTTTAAAAAAAAAACCCAAACTGGATTTACTCTTAAAATTCTAAAAAAATCCTTACTAAGTATAAGAAATTCTGTCATTATTTAAAACTTAAGAGGCCATTTCAAACTTATTAGAAATTCACCAATACGTAAATATCTGACTAAACTAAAACCCACCTATAAGCTCTGTTATATTTTACTCAAAAGAGTGTCCTATTCATATCTTGATGTCAGCCTTAATGGTGGTGCACATGATTTTAAATTTACAGTGGACTAGTGTAAAATTAAATATTGTATCAATAGTACGACCACTGACATATATTTAAATAACAAAAAATTATGGCTGATTTATCTAGAAATACTTTGTTATTAAGCCAAAATTTTCAGTGGGCTCCCTCATAGCAATGGCAGATACCATATATCGTAAACGGAAATAACAGGTGGTCTTACCTATAGCTACAAAGCTTGTTTCCCATCGTATTCATAACAATCAATTTATTATACCTCTTCCCAGTGGCTTCATGAGAAACAAAGTTTTTAAAAAATCCATAAATAAATGACCCAGATATTACAGGAGAGTATCGTGATTTGGAAGCGGAGTCAGTGTCAATAAGTGTGCAAAGTACAATTTCTCGACTTTTTTTTTTTAGTCATTTTTCAAGTACAGTTTTCTATTTCTCCCATTCCAGCCCACCTCGCCTATAGTTGTCTTTTCAGAACCCTATTTGTAAAAAAAGAGTAAGTTATTTCAGAAATTTCTCTGTTGGTTAGATAAATATAATGTGGCAAGAGCAATTCTGAGGCACTTTTTAAGACTTTTTGGTAAAGTTTGGTTAATACATTAACTCTTCACATTTGTATGACACAACTTTTTAATAGAACATATTTTTCTTGAAATGTTTGTGAAATTCGGCTAAAGCTCTTAGAAGGCATTTTGTAGCATCCTACACACTGGATTCCATAACTTAATCTTCAGATACCCATTTGTGCCAGGGTCACTAGAACAAAAAACTCTGTGTATTGCAAACTGAGCTTCCTGTTTAAAGCGAGAACCGTCTTCAACACCATTTATTAAGAGCTATCTAAATCCCACATGAACTGCTATACTTCGCTTTACTGAAACTACCAGTAAATTCCAGAATCATCATGATTTAGAAACGCCACCTTTTGCCTATGTGTGACTTCCTTTCAGTCTGACCCTGCCACGCGCATGCTCTGTGTAACACAGCAGTGGCTCCCCAGAGCTGCCGGGCAGCCCGCGTGTCTCCCAGCAGAGCACAGAGTAACACTCCTTTGCTCTCCATGCTTATTTATTTCATGGCACACTCACTCTCGGGGCATGCAGTCCGCTGAAAACTTCCATCACCATTACCATTCACTGCTGTGTACCCCTTTCTATACTATATAGTCAAGACTCCCACCTTAATCTCTTAACAACAAATAAAAACACTATTTTATATATGAGTCAAATTAATTTTATTATGCTTCATGATGAATTGCCACCTGTGCAACATCCTACTCACTATACATTTCAAAAAAAATTCACATACTAAACAAAATTTCAGTTGATAAATGGAAATGAATGATTGAAAGTCTTTATGAATCTCATACATACAATATGTGGCTAGCTGAAATTGTCTATCACATAGCATTTAGATATAAAAAGCCTCATGCTAGTTTGTTTGTTAAGTGCAAAGGCTGTCAGACAATCATTTAACTGGAGTATATATAGGAGGCTTCCAGACAATGCACAGACATAGTGCCGACCACAGTGTAAGGTGGTGGAGGACTGAAACATGCAACCTTTACATTTAAAGTAGATTTTGTTTTCATGCCTGGACCGAACTCCACAGCTGTTGTGTTTCAACCAGTAATTTAGACTTTGTGCAACAACAACAAAAAGTATTTTTTTTTTCTTTAAGAGGAAAGAATAAACTCAAATACCTTTGGCAAATTTTACACCGATTTTACATGTTTAAAATTGTGTTTCCAACTCAAAGAATTGATAGCCTCTGTTCAGAGCAGCTTCTGATAAAGTTATCACAGCAAAGTAAGCTGGAAAACCCTGAATTCCTTGGCCAAAAGTTAAGAAAGATCTTAAATAGGCATTACCTTAAAGACATGTCTAGGATATTGAAAATGCTTTTATAATGTTGCATAAATTGGAAAATGTTTATTACTTAAAATAAGTACATTGTTCTATTTACCATTTGCACAAATTCCTAATTTTACTGGTTAGTAGTTGTCAAGCCTCATCCATACCAGATTCAACTGAGCTCAAGCCACAACGAAAATCAGAGTAAGCAGAAAAAGGTTTCCAGAAGCAGAGGGCACTGTTTTTTGCAAGAACAAAAAGTCTAGAATTTTTCCCATGGCCTTAAATTACTCTTGCAAGGAAGGTAACATTCTTTGAATAACTTAACTATTTTACTGCACCACTTAACTGCTTTCAGCAACAAAACCTTTTAAATTATTTATGATAACTAGATGCATGATCACTATACTATATGATAACTGGTTAAAATTCAAGCCACATCTTGCAGGTCCAGCCTGTCAAGATCATTCCAATACTAGATTTTGGTCGGTATAATTTTAGAGAGCTTAATTAATTTTTAGTTGGATACTGTGACTACAGTAATGAAATACATTTGAAACTACATTCTGCATATGACTCAATGTGAGAAAAAAATCTGTATTTAAATCACATAATTTTTCTAAAGTAGGTAGATATGATAATTAGCATTATAAATATGAAAACCACCTTTAGGCAGATTAGTGTACTGTAGAGAGGCAAGGAAACCCTAACTTTAACATATCATTTAGTATACATAACAATGTGCAGGTTGTAATGTTTTATTTATTTTTCTAAAAAAAAATCTATCATTGACTTATGTCTTCCCAAGAAATTTGACATTGGAATAACTGACTTTATAACAAAAAAAAAAGTAACCTTTCACTTGACATTTGACAAAAACCTTGAGAAATTATAAAAATAAAAAAAATGTATAGTAGGTTCAACATCAGATTAGATTTTTTGAGGTATTATTTTTTAATACCTCAATCCATATAAACCGCAAAATAAAAACTGTTAATCTCATATCATTTATAATGGACTGATTTTTATAGTATCCTTAACCAATACCAAAGTAACAATAATACAGTCTCCTTTAATTCATACGAAAATTACCCCAAGGCGCCCCGAATTCCAATAATTTAAATAACATTTATTTCAGAATAATACCAAAAATATTTTTTAAGTTTTTGCTAAAAAGAGCCTGCCACATTTGCTATAGCATAAAAATAACTTCAGCCAAGTACAGGTATGTAAGGGCTCCTTATGATTCCAGCCTCCGAATGCCACTGCTACACAGTAACAGGCAGTATTGCTATAAGAGGTGTGTTACTGATTTCCCCGATTAGCATCTCTGTGGTGATTTTATGTAGAGCATATTGCTAAAATTTGAGAAACTGCATCAGTGTAGTGATGTCTACTGAACTGTGCAATCTATCAGCTTCAACATTCATGTAGCATTGTGTTCAAAATGAAGGGGCTAAAAATAAACTAAGGTTTGTATCACTTAAAAAAGAATGTAGTGCTATACTAGGTTTTAATAAGAAAATTTAGGTACAGAAAAAGTAGGGTATGAAAATAGTGTTTTCCTTCTGACATTATAACTAAATTACATTAAGGTTTTTGTCAGTCTCACACATAATATTTAAACTCCCTTGTTGATGGAATGAAAAATATTCACAAATTAAGTGAGCATCCTGGTGTAAACTTGCACACAACAACAGGGAGTAGCTTTGCAGAAGATTATGACAAACCTTTACAGATTAAATGAGGTATTGCACAGATTAATAAAAAAAGCAAAAAAGGCAACAAAAATATACAGCAAATTGGTAGAACATTTACATGATAATTTTACAGATTCCATAGACAGAAAGTAGTGTTTAGTATTTCACCTTAAAAATATATATATAATATATAGATCAATCTTCCCATTCATCGTCATCTTCAAAATCTTCTTCATCGTCTTCATCCTCATCTTCATCTGAAAGAAAATCATTAAGACAAACAATGAAAACCTATGTACAAATATTACATATTTCTTGGGTGATTTCTCCAATTATTTAACTTCTGAAATACAAAGCATTTGATACCTGGAAGAATCTAGTTACTAAGATAATTTTAAATGAATCTAGTAAAACCTATCTAAAGAGTCTGATGATGAGTTAAAGATGAGAACAAGAGTCAGGAAACTTGGGTTCTAGTCCCTCAGTATTTATGTTACACATTTTAACCTGTGTGTTTCTTTACACGCAAAGTCACATTCGGGTTGGTCTTTCTGAATTTTAGACGCATGTACTGCAAATCCAACTGCTTTCTTGTATTCTTCACGTGGATTCCTAAAGTTTTATCTCCTTTCTAACCTGCTTCTCCCCTACCAGTCTAGTCTGCTCCTGGACAGTTACCATTCTCTCAGGTGTTCAAGCCTAAAGCCTCGGAATTACTATTGATCCTGTTTTCACTGCCCCTCACCCCCACCATCAAATCCATCAAGTCTGTTCCTTTCCTCCATTTCCACAGCTGCTCCCACACCACCATCATATATATATTGTGGATATTGCAACTCTAAAGTCCATTTGCCTTAAAGCAAATAGAGTGATATTTAAATTCTAAGGTTTAAAAATATCATGTTCTTGTCCTCCAGTGGCAGACCACTGTTACTTGAATAGAATGTGATGTTACCTCACTATATAAGACCCTACATGATTTGCCCAGTTATTGTCTCCCTGGCCCCCTAAATTTTTTAAATAATACCCTCTCCTTCAATTCACTGTTGCTAGATGCATGGCCTTCTTTCTGTCCCTTAAAGATGCCAAGTTTATTCTTGCAATAGCTATTCCTCTGGCTGAGTCTTCTCATCATATGGATTCACTCAAAAACCACTTCCCTCAGGGAGGCCTTTCCTGACCATCCTATGTAAAGTATAACCCTCCCACTTTATTTTCCTTATAACATTCACCACTGCCTGCAATTCATATGGTTTGTTTACAGATTTGTCTTCACACTCCAGAGTGTAAGTTCCACAACAGCAGGAACTTGCCTGTTTCATTTATCTCCGAATCCCTAGCATCAGAACAGTGCTTCACAGAAGCTGCTCAATAAATATTTGCTGAGTAATGAATAAGATGTCATCAAATTCTATAAGCAATCTTCTATGTTACATACCAACCTTCCATAATTAATAACCTTTCAAAAACTACGTACCTCATAAAACCCACAAAGGCCAAGTTTGTGAGACAGTGGCTAAACAACAGTACTATACAACCCAGTGTTTAAAGGCTTCTAAAAGTACTCAAGCTCTAGTATTAGAACTCGGAAATGAAGCCAAACAGGAGCAAAGACGTCTTCCGTGAGCCCCAAACTAAGTTCTCACTTTAATAATAATAATAAACAATAATAAATGATCAATTATTAATTGGTAATTGTCAATTATCCATTATTATTAGTCTGATGGTTAGCTCTAAATTATCACAGTTTATTTGGAAAGGAGTTAAATCAACTTCATGTTACTTAACCTCTATGTTTACTTCATTAATAAAACAAATAATTTACTACCAAAAACTTTCACTAGACATGCTTTCCAAAGTTCACCTGGAGAAGACTTAATTAAGTTCAGCTAACTACATATGCATTTACAGAGTGACAAATATGGGCATTTATCAGAAACTATGATGAGGAGGAAGCAGCTAGTAATTCTATCATCAGGTACATCACAGGAACAATAATAGTTAAAAAATAACTAAAAAACCATGCTGTATATTCATTATATCAGCATGGCTATTATTTATGGTTATTTATGTCTTAAAAAGGACTCACTATAGGGGTAATTTTTAACAGAACCTGTAAGTGTCCACAGTGGTGTGGAGAGAGATGTGTACGTAGATAAACTGAGACTACTACAGATGTTCGACCTACTGTTGGATATGATCTGACACACCCAACCAGGTCATAAAGGTAGAGTGAGAAAATATTCTACTAACAATTATCAATTAAGTAATCCTTCAGAGTAATGTCACCATCAATTTCTGTATCTTGGAAGAACAGTTCAGCTCACTTATTAGCACCAAACAGGTCAGAATGTCATGTTTTTCCAAAGAAAAATTTGGTCATCTGCTAATTAGAATATAATGAAGCAGATGAATGTTTTCTAAATAAACATTCAGAGAAGTAAACCCGTTTAGAAAAATAAAGGCCCTTTAATCAATATCTTTAAAGGAAAGGTTGTAAAAATCCAACCAACGTACTATTGAGCTACCAATTCCAATGACAGGCAGGAATCTCACTGACACTAAGCCACGGGTGGCAAACACGAGGCCCACTGGGCACATCCGGCCCTCAACCTTGCTTTATCAGCCCAGCACCTTGTTTCTACTGGCAGCAGCACTGAGATCTCGCTTAACTGTTAAGGAGTAGTTACATTTATAGAGTCCTAAAATTATGTTCAGCCTTTTGAAGGAAACCGGGAGACTGATGTGGCCCCCAGTGAAAATGAGTTTGACATCCCCAACAAGCCATAAAAGCAGCAGGGTAGGCAGTCCCAAAACCCAGTCTCCTATTCCTTCCTGAACCCACTCCTTCCAGGTCATGAATGACCTACCGCTGCTAAAGCTAAACCTTAATTTCCTGTTCTCATTTTCTTGACCTATCAGACACACTTGACCTAGATGATTACCTTATCCTCCTTTAAAATTCCTTCATCTGGCTTCTCATATACCAGATTCCCCAGACCCAGACTTTATTAGATCATCTCTATTTACACTGTGGATCTCATCTAGTTCCATATGTTTAAATACCATGCATATATTAATGACACGCAAATTTGTATTAAAAATCCAGACCTCTCTCCCCTGAATCCCAGGCCCATAACCAAATGACTACTCTTATCTACATTTGGCTTTTAAAATGTATCTCAAATTGTGTATAAAACCAAACTTTTAATCTTTTCTCTGAAACCTGTTCCTCCTAAATCTTTGCCTACTCTGTTAATGAAAATTTCAGCCTTTCGGTTGCTCAGGTCAAAAATCTTGGGATTTTTTTCAAACTTCATTTCCAATCCATCAGTAAACCTAGTGATCTCCACATTGAAAACATAACTAGGGTCCAACCACTTCTCACTGGTGCTATCAGCTGGATTCAAACCTCCATCACCCCTTCCTCAGCTCATTGCCATATCTCTGCTAAGAACCTTCCAGTGGGTTCCCATCACATTCATGGCCTCCAAAGCCTTACTACTGGCCCCTATTACCTCCTGTTTTTCATTTCTTAGTACTCTTTCCCTCCCTCCCTTGTTCTAGCCACACTGACTTCATTGTTTCTCAAATTTAGGAACTTTGCACTGGCTGATATTGTCACCTGACACCCGAGCACACTTTAGATAGCTTTCTACAAGGTTCCCTCCCTGAACTCCTTCTGGTATATTCTCAATTCTCACCTCAGCCAGGCCTCATCACTTATTTCAAAATGTACTTCCTTCCAGAGCCTGTAACTCCCCATTTTTCTTTAGTGTATACTATCATTTAACATGCTAAATATTTACCTCATTTATTTTGTTTATTGTCTGTCTTTCTCTGACTAGAATGCATGTCCCATGAAGACAGAAAAATTTGTTGTTTTTTAATTTTATAATCATTCCACAATAAATATTTGTGAACAGAATTAGCCTATCTTTATAACACACGATGAGAATGAATATGTCAATGTAACACAAACAAATGTTCAATTAGAGAAACAAAAAGGAGAAAAGTAACATTTATTGAGCACCTATTATATGCTACGCAATCTGTGTGTTATTACAAATTATTCTACCTAATATTTACATCAATCATAGAATGTATGTCTCTAAGTAACAAATAAGAAAATTAAGGTCCATCGAGAGAAAATGATAGATTTAGTAAGAACAAAGATCTGATTCTAGTACATCATGCTGGGGAAGCTCTTCGGTAAACCTCAACTCCTGTATCAGCAAAACCCATATCCTTGCTCCTTATGAAAAGCAGTGTTTATTTACGTGTGGTGTGCATATGCTTAATAATAACCTCAGAACAGGTAGTAGTTAATTCACATAAACCTTTTTAGGAAATGACAAAAATAAAGGGGGAAAAAACCTAAAACCCTTTAGAAAACTGTAGACACAGTGTAAATTATCTACTTTATTTTTTAAAAAGATTTCATTTATTTATTTTTAGAGGACAAGGGAGGGAAAAAAAGAGAGAGAGAATCATCAATGTGTGGTTGCCTCCTGTGCGCCCCCACCAGGGACCAGACCCACAACCGAGGCATGTGCCCTGACTGGGAACTGAACCAGGGACTGCTTGCTTCACAGGCTGGTGCTCAACCCACAGAGCCACACCTGCCAGGGAAATGTTCTAATTTCTTAGCCTGACCTCTCACAAATCAGGGAACTCTCCTAAATTTCTTATTTCACAGGTATGATAGGAATGAGATCAAGAAATCTGAAGCCTTTTTAGAGGTTGCCTGCCAGGCATTCTGTCAGTATTGCTCAGTATAGGAAACAAAATTGCCATTTTTCCAAAGTTGTTCTTCCAATTATAGTTATGACTGTGGTGTTCTGACATCCATTAAGCTTTTAGATAGACTAGTCACAGTGATTGACATCAATTAACTTATTTAATAGAAGGGACAAGCCAGCAAAGACTGAGTCATAAAACAGAAAGAAAAATAGAATTCAAGCATTCAGATGTGTTAAATATACATGCACACATGCAAACGTACCTGAAGAATGAATGGCTTTGCTCCTTTTCTGCATCACTTCCATTAGTGCCCCCACGATTCCTGAAGTGGGGGCAGGTGTCGGTGGTGTGGACTCCTGGCCATCAGATACCTTTGAAAAGAAAGTTAGCAAAATTCAGTAATAAATCCTGGGCAAAAATTATGTCTCCTGAAAGTCTTGCTTTCTTAGAATCAGTTCTTATTTAAAAAGAAAAACAAAACAAACAAATAAAAATACCAAGTAAGCTCAGGACGGATTAACTAAATTAAGAATAAGCTACTGTCTTAAAATAGTCAAGATATATTTCTGCTCCCTCTTAACATGAGGGCCCCCCTTAAATGAAAATTTATTTTTAAAATTGTGTATTTATTCTTAGGTGTTTAAACTTCAGTCATCTTCCAGGTACTCTTCATTTGATGCAATGCACTACTGAGACTTTTCCCCAGTGCTCAAAACAATTTTTGAACGCATTGGTTTTGATGCATTTTAGTGTCTCTGCTGTTTTTTGTTTCACTGCTTCCACATTGGCAAAATATTATCCTTTGAGGACATTTTCTTTTAAAACCGGGGGAAACAAAAAAGTCACTCAGGATAAGATTAAGTGAATAGGGAGGATGGGGCACCAAGGTCATGACAGTTTTGGTCAAAAACTGCTGAACACTCAGTGTAGTGTGAGCAGGTGAGCTAGTAAATCACCCATCATGAAATGAACAAACATGTTTAAAGAGTCCTCAAAAAAATTTCACTGAAGCTGAACATAGCCTCTCACACCACCACCAGCGGTGACACTGATGCAGACAGATGGGTTCCTAGAACACTGACCTAGTGGAGGAAGCCTGTACTACAAGGGGCCTGCCCTCCAGAAAAACAATCCCATCTGGGGGGGTTTTCCCTTATATATAAGCATCAGTATCTTTCCAAATTGAGAGTAAGAACTCTTTCTTGAAAAACACTTGCCCTTGCACCTAGGTTACTTCTGTTTATTCCAATACACAAAGCTGGAGCTGATGAAACTACAATGGGGCATCATTTTGCAAACTGAGGTAATACTTAAGCACACTTAAGATACCTAACAGCAACTGAAGAGACTTATACCCCCTACATAAACTCAGTTTACTAATAATTTAAAATGAATCTCCTCATAGAATTAACTTCTGGGTATCCCATCTGCAGCCAGTGGGATGAGGCCCAGGATGGCTATAAATGTAACCCAACAAAAAATTGTAAATTTACTTAAAACCTTGTTTTGTGTATCAGTTTTCATTAGTGTTTCTGTATTTAGTATGTGGCTGAAGATAACTCTTCTTCTTCCAGCATGACCTAGAGGTGCCAAAAGGTTAGACACCCCGGCAGGATGAGTTGGGTAGCTTCCAAAATGCTGCCTATCTCACAAGGCAGCTAACTACCCCAAACTAAAGTAATACCTCTCAGCTACAAAGTACACTGGGGGGACATATGGACATCACAGACACTCTTTAAAAAGAAAAAGCCCGGGGACTTCCGCCAAGATGGAGAAGTAGGTGGAGGTTCCACCTCACCTCTGTGCACAACCAAATCTAAGAACAACTATTTTTAACAGCAGTCACAACCAAGCCACACGGAAAATCGACAATACGGAGTCCAAAGGACAACTAGATACTCGGCTGGACCGGTACGAGGAGCGAGGCCAGCAGCGGAGCAGGTTAGCAAGAAAAAATTCCCGGGGTGGTGCGCGGCGCGTGCAGGCAACGAGCTGGCTGCCGGAGCGCACAGGGAAGAGGCGCGGTGGCTCGGTCGGTGGCGCGCATTTACGTGCGGAGAAACCAGTGAGGAGGGAAACCCGCGCGGTGCAGCAGGCTCGCAAAATTAGGATTGGATAAGCAAGCCCGAGGCGTTTGAGTGACTGGATGCGCTGGGCTAGCGGAGAGGAACGCCATTGCTCCCTCTCTGACCCCGCCCCCACACATAGCGTCACAAACCAGCGACCTGGGTCGCTCCGTCCTGGTAAACAACTAAGGCTTCGCTCCGCTCACTTAACAGCACGAATAGACCAAAAATGGCTCTAGGACAACTCAGAGCCCCAGAACCGATAGACCTAAGTGATGAAGAAATAGCCAGTCTTTCAGATGCACAGTTCAAAACACTGGTTATAAAGATCCTTACAGAACTGGTGGATTTTAGTCACAAATTAGAGAAACATATGGAAGCTAAATTAATTGAAATGAATGCTGATACAAAAGATACCAATAGTAATGGAAAGAAAATTGGGATTCAAATCAAGGGAGAGGACCAGACGGAAGAAAAAATGATCAAACAGAAAGGAATGAAGAAATAAGAATTCAGAAAAATGAGGAGAAGCTTAGGAACCTCCAGGACATCTTTAAACGTTCCAACATCCCAATTATAGGGGTACCAGAAGGGGGAAAGGCACAACCACCAGTTGAAAAATTATTTGAACAAATAATAAAGGAGAATTTCCCCAAGATGGCAAAGGAAATAGACTTCCGAGAAATCCAGGAAGCTCAGAGAGTCCCAAAGAAGTTGGACCCAAGAAGGAACACACCAAGGCACATCATCATTACATTAGCCAAGATTAAAATGAAGGAGAGAATCCTAGAAGCAGCAAGAGCTAAGGGGACAGTCACCTACAAAGGAGTTCCCATCAGACTGTCAGCTGATTTCTCAAAAGAGACCTTACAGGCAAGAAGGGGCTGGGCAGAGGTATTCCAAGTCATGAAATCCAAAGATCTACAACCAAGATTGCTCTACCCAGCAAAACTTTCATTTAGAATGGAAGGACAGATAAGGTGCTTCTCAGATAAGACCAAATTCAAGGAGTTCATCATCACCAAGCCCTTACTATATGAAATGTTAAAGGGACTTACCTAAGAAAAAGAAGATAAAAAAGATGAACAGTGAAAGGACAGCAAACTCACAGTTATTAAGAACCACACCTAAAACAAAAGCAAACTAAGAGGATAGCTAGATCAGGAGCAGAACCATAGAAATGAAGATCTCATGGAGGGTTAGCAACAGGGGAGTGGGAGGAGGGGAAGGGGGGAGAAGGTACAGAAAATAAGTAGTATAGACAGTAGATAGAAAATAGATAGGGGGGAGGGTAAGAATAGTAGGGGAAATACAGAATCTAAAGAATTTGAGACACATGTTCATGAACTAAAGGGGGAAATGGTGGGGGAGGGGTATGCAGGGTGGAGGGGAAAGGAGGGGGGAATAGAGCAAATGTAATGGCATAATCAATAAAAAAAAAAAAAAAGAAAAAGCCCTGGCTGGGTAGCTCAGTTGGTTGGAGCGTCACCCCTGTAGATAGAAAAGGTTGCGTATTTGATTCCCAGTTGGGGCCTGTACAAGAGCCAACAGATAAATGCTTCTCTCTCACATTGATGTTTCTCTGCTTCTCTCTCTCCCCCAAGTCAATAAACATATCCTTGGGTGAGAATTTTAAAAGAAAAGAAAATTACTTTATTAGGACGAACTTTGCAGTTCAGTCTTTACAATTCTTAATACTCACTTTTTCTGGAATTCAAGATTTTTTACTTCAAAAAATATTCAAATTAGTTCTTCATAAGACACACAGACTCATTCATTAGTACATACATAGGTTTTTAGAGACTTTGTATTAACTATTACTGGCACAGAAGTGCCACAAATGACAAACATAACAGAAACAGTTTCAGAACTCTGAACGGCAGTATGAGGCACTAACAGAAGTATACCAGCCGCAAAGGACTGACTTCAGTCTGATTCCGAGCCATCTGACAATACAAAGCCAAAGCACTGCATGAGCACAGCACTCTCCTAATCACGGTTCCGAAAGCACTTTCTTGGACACAGTGCTTTCTGAGGTACTATAAATATGCAATTCAAAAATGTATGTAAATAAATATTTATATACTTCCTGCTTGCTTTAAAAAAAATCTGTGGTTTTATGTTAGTCACATTCCAAGACAAAACTGATGATTTATAAAGAATATTTAAAGAAACACAGAGAAACTGCAACCACAGTTTTGTTTATTTTTATAAAGTAAAATGATGGATTCAGATTACATGTATAACATGCCATTAATTCACTAATTGTACTTTATGAAAATATTCCAAATACAATAAAAAAGTGGTCATTTAGGATAAAAATGGCCTACTAGCCTACATTTAGAATGAAAAACTTTTTTTCTCTCTAAAAAGAAATTTAGAGAACAATTGATAGGTTTTTGTTTGAGGGAAGGGTGGGGGTGTTGGGGTGGGAAAAGGAGATGGTAAGAATAATTAGGAAATAGAACTCACCAACTGTTTAAATTAAGAAAAGTGGACATAATTGTATTCATTAAAATAAACACCTTATTTTCACTACATGAGAGAAATAAAGCAAACGCTGATTGTAAAGAGAGAAACTAGGAAGGAAAAACGAAAGGGTAGGTTAGGAGTGAAAGATGGGAATGAAAGTGACACAGAAACTAGCATAGATTACAAGGCAAAAGCTGAAGGAACTGACACTGTTAAAACCTGCTATTCGGACTTCAGGCCAAAATGGAGGTGTAGGTGGAAACATTGTACCTCCTCGCATAATCAAATTTAACAAAGATTTAGGGAAAAAAAAAAACATAATCAGAACAGAAAGAAAACTGAACTGTACCGAAGTCCAACAACGATGAACCATTCATCCAGATGGGTAAGAGGGGCGGAGTTGGCAGCCAGCAGTGAGGGGTCCCAGCAGGAAAAGGCAGTGGTTGGCAACCAGGGCGTGGGGAGGAAATGAGCAAACCCAGTGAGGCGCACAAGGTGGTTAGCTGACCACGGTCACACATTTGAGTGCAGGTAAACCAGGCAAAAAATGGGCAGTGAGACAGACTGAGCAACCCAGGGCCCCAGTGATGGGAAATAAAGCCTAAAGGCACCAATTGAAAAAACTTTGGGGGACTGAGGTGCCAGGAGAGGCTCCCAGCCTCACAGGAGAGTTCACTGGAGTGATCCACAGGGTCCTAGAACATACACAAGCCCGTACACCCAGGAACCAGCACCAGAAGGACCCAGTCTGTTTGTGGGAAGCAGCACAGGAAACAGAAAACCAAGAGAGCGGAACAAGCACCTCTGCTCCCTCTCTGACCCTGCTCCCCCAGGCAGTGTCACAACCCAGTGACTGGACTGACTGGCCCTGGTGAACACCTAAGGCTCCACCCTTCAGACATAATAGGTGCCAATAGACCAAAACTATGGCTCAAACAGAGGAACAGATCAAAGCCCCACAGCCAATACTTCTTAAGTGACAAAGAGATAGCCAACCTCCCAGATACACAGTTCAAAACACTAGTGATCAGGATTCTAAAAGAACTGGTTGATTTCAGTGGCAAATTAGATGAAAAAATGAAGGCTACACTAAGTGAAATGAAGAAAAATGCACAGGGAAACAATAGTGATGGGAAGAAAACTGGGACTCAAATCAATGGAGTGAAGCAGAAGGAAGAAAGAAACAACCAAACAGAAAAGAATGAAGATACAAGAATTCAAAAAAATGAGGAGAGGCTTAGGAACCTCCAGGACATCTTGACACATTCCAAAATCTGAATTATAGGGGTACCAGAAGGGGAAGAGGAAGAGCAACAAAGGGAAAACTTATTTGAACAAATAATGAAGGAGAACCTCCCCAATCTGGCAAAGGAAATAGACTTCAAAGAAGTCTGGGAAACTTGGAGAGTCCCAAAGAAGTTGGACCCAAGAAGAAACACACCAAGGCACATCATAATTACATTAGCCAAGATAAAATGAAGAGAATTCTAGAAGCAGCAAGAACTAAGGGGACAGCCACCTATAAAGGAGTTCCCATCAGACTGTCAGCTGATTTCTCAAAAGAGACCTTACAGGCAAGAAGGGGCTGGAAAGAAGTATTCCAAGTCATGAAATGCAAAAACCTACATTAAAGACTGCTCTATCCAGCAAAGCTTTCATTTAGAATGGAAGGGCAGATAAAGTGCTTCTCAGATAAGGTCAAGTTAAAAGAGTTCATTGTCACCAAGCCCTTATTATATGAAATGTTAAAGGGACTTATCTAAGAAACAAGAAGATAAAAAATATGAACAGAGAAAGGACAGCAAACTCACAGTTACTAACAACCACACCTAAAACAAAAGCAAACTAAGAGGACAGCTATCTCAGGAGCAGAACCAAAGAAATGGAGATCACATGGAGGGTTAGCAACAGGAGAGTGGGAGAAGGAGAAGGGGGGAGAAGGTACATAGAATAAGTAGCATAGACGGTGGGTAGAAAATAGGGGGAGGGCAATAGTAGTATGGGAAATGTAGAAGCTAAAGAACTTATGACGCATGGACACAAAGGGGAGGATTGTGGGGGGAGGGGATGTGTAGGGTGGAGGAGAATGAAGGGGGGAAATGGGACAACTGTAATGACATAATCAATAAAATATATTAAAAAATATAAAACCTGCTATTCATCTAAGCCGTGGTCATTTTGACACTAATTCTCTCCACTAAAAAACTATCGGAAGTTCTTCAACTGCTCCTGAGGAACCTTTAGTCTGAACTAAATGGGAAGAGGAAGCAGAGATGATTGCTCACAGGCTGATTTAAGCACCAGCCCGAATTTACATGTCAACAAAAGACCCAGATATAGCCGACTGGTATAGCTCAGTAGACTGGGCATGAGCTGCAAGCCAAAGGGTCGCCAGTTCGATTTCCAGTCAGGGCACATGCCTGGGTTGCAGGCCAGGTCCCCAGTACAGGGCGTTTGAGAGGCAATCACACACTGATATTTCTCTCCCTCTCCCCTTCTCTACCCCTTTGTCTAAAAACAAATGAAATCTTCCAAAATAAAATAAAAAGGCCCAGATACATTTTTAACAATCAGAAGATCCTTAAATCTGTGCTATGCTAATGTTTACATGTTTTCACTGAATTAATGTGTTCCCTATCCATTATTCTGTTTTGAGAAAGTTACCATAATTTCCTACATTGCAAAATAACCAGCTAAAATCTCCTCCTTTCATCTCCACTTACTGTATGGAAAAATCTGCCATCGATTACCTGCCTGAAGTCCTGCACAGCAAACACTCCTCTTAAAGCTCAGAGACTACATGTACATTCCCAGAAAAAAAGCTCTGAATGCAGGAAGGCTGGGCTGTAGGACAGGGGTTGGCAAAGTACCATGGGCCAAATCTAGCCTGCCACTTGTTTTTGTATAACCTTAAAGCTAAGACTAGTATTTACATTTTTAAATGGTTAAAGAAAATAAAAAATAGAGTATTTGTGATATTTGAAAGTTATACAAAATTCAAATTTCAGTGTCCACACAGTCAATCACAACCACTCATTCATGTGTTGTCTGTGGCTGCTTGAATGTTTGGCTACTGTTTTGTGGCATAGCAGCATATTTGAGTAGTTGTGAAAGAGTCCACATGACCTTCAAGCCTAAAATACTTACTACCCAGTCTTTTAAAGAAAAGAGTTTGCCAACTCTATGCTCTAGAAAATGATCACCTCATTCAATACAGAGAATTCAAATTTATTTGCCATCACTGTCAGAAATTCTTTCAGAATTCTTTCAATTTTCTATGGAGTCTGATTCACTACTCATCTAAATTTACAAACACAGAAACTTTAGAGTATGGTTCTGTCTGCATGAAGTTACCAACTGAGTTTACTTAAGTAATCAAAATTGGTTTCAAGTAGGGCTATCTTTACTTCTCCATAACGTAATAAAGATTTTTCTCTAAAAGTACTTTTATTTAAAAGTCTAGAAAAATGAATTGGAAACATACTGCAAAATTCCATTTATATGCAGTTTTAGAATAGGAAAAACTAATCTATGATGATGGAAACCAGATCAGTGATTCTTTTGGGGAGCCAGAGTAACTAGGAAGAGGCATAAGGGAACTTTCTACAGTGATATTTCAGTACAGAAGTATGGGTTACAGTAGTATAGGTATAAATTTGTACACTTTATGGTATATAAAAGTATCAGAAATTCACAGGTTAATAAAATGAACACCAAGGGAAAAAGTAAAGAAAATAAAGATTTTTCAAAGATGTCTTATAAATTACTTTATAATTCCCTAACAACAGACAGTATAAAATGAACAGATTACTTACAGATTTCAGCTGAATACCCTGTCGAATCTGGTCTAAAAGTGCATCCCTCCCAGAGCAGGAAACCGGTCGACTGTTCTGTTCCACTTTTTTTAGCTGAGCACCCTCTCTAATTTGATCTAAAAGAGCTGCTTTGTTTCCTGCAGGAGTTGGAACTTGATGGTCACCGTCAGAAGGGAGGCCTGGAGGAGGTGGTGGCCCAGGTGGCGGTGGAGGAGGGGGTGGTGGGGGTGGTGTCGCTGACCCTGTCATTGGCAGAAGTGGAGGCGGTGGTGGAGGCGGCCCTGAAGGTGCTGAGGAGGGAAGGGCTGGAGGCGGAGGAGGGTACATCCTATTTGGCGGTGGTGGCGGGACTCCTGCCCCTGGCCTGGACGGAGGTGGCGGTGGAGGTGCAGCTGTGGGAGCTCTTGAAGGTGGTGGAGGAGGAGCACCTCTTCCTCTGGCAGGAGGGGGAGGAGGGCCTGAGCTATGTGGAGGGGGAGGAGGAGGAGGGGGCCCTCCCCTTGATGGTGGTGGAGGTGGTGGTGCTGAAATACAAACAAAAAACGAAAGCATGTTTTCCCCCATAAACACCATACTGAAAAATTAACTCACTCCAACGTGTTTTAAAAAAAAAGGCCTCATCTCTATTTTATATTATAAAGATATCTGACCACAGATGGTATCTTATCATTTTATTTAGGTATACTTAGCTTAAAGATTACCTTCCTACTGTTTCTTGAAAAAGTATTAGTAAAGCAGTAAAATTTAGTTTTTAGAAATCAGCACCACTTCCAAAAGTAAAGCAATAAATACCTTTTTACATAATAACAAAATTAAATAAAATTAAATATTTTTGTCCATAAGCATTATTTTACATTTTAATAAATGAATACCCTCTTTTTAAGAAATCATATCTATCATTTTATAAAAATAATTCACATTCAGATTTAAATAATGTAGCATAACTTAGAATTTATTCAAAGTAATCTGAGCTAAACACAAATACTTTTTCTTTTCAAATATAAGCCTTGTCACCTAACTTACACCTATACTTTATATCCTATATTATATACACACACACACATATTACATAACTATAATACACATACTACATAAATACAAAAAATAGAGTGCAACTTACTATAATAACATATAATATGTAACGTCCTGTAATTCTAAAAGATGGTCAGTAAGTCTAATGATAGCATTAGAGAGGCTGGTTGCTCAACTGAAATGTTCAACTATTTATTCAGGAGATAAGAACTATTAACAAATTAACTTGAAAACGACTAATGCTACAAAATAAAAGTTATTAATAAAATATTAACACTATTCTAGCGTTAATATTTTATTTATTTATTTATAGACAGAGGGGAAGGGATGGAGAAAGAGAAGGAGAGAAACATCAGTATGTGGTTGCCTCCTGCACAACCCCTTCTGGGGACCTGGCCCACAACCCAGGAATGTGCTCTGACTGGGAATCAAACTGGCAACCCTCTGGTTCGCAGGCCGGCACTCAATCCAATGAGCCACACCAGCCAGTGCAATATTTTTTTTCATTTCCCCCCTTTATTCCCCTCTGTCCTGTACACCCCCTCCCACCGCATTCCCCACCTTTAGTTCATATCCATGGGTCATACATATAAGTTCTTCAGTTTCTACATTTCCTATACTATTCTTAACCTTCCCCTGTCTATTTTCTATCTACCACTTATGCTACTTATTCTCTGTACTTTTTCCCCCCTCTCTGCTCCTCTCACTCCCCTGCTGGTAACCCTCCATGTGATGTCCATTTCTGTGATTCTGTTCCTGTCCTAGTTGCTTGCTTAGTTTTTTTCTTTTTAATTTTTTTTTTAGGTTCGGTTGTTATTAGGTTTTGTTGTCATTTTACTGTTATTTTTGACCTTCTTTTTCTTAGATAAGTCCCTTTAACATTTCATATAATAAAGGCTGGGTGATGATGAACTCCCTTAACTTGACCTTATCTGGGAAGCACTTTATCTGCTCTTTTATTATAAATGATAGCTTTGCTGGATAAAGTAATCTTGGATGTAGGTCCTTGCCTTTCATGACTTCCAATACATCTTTCTAGCTCCTTTCTTGCCTGTAAGGTTCCTTTTGAGAAATCAGCTGATAGTCTAATGGGAACTCCTTTGTAGGTAACTCTCTCCTTTTCTCTTGATGCTTTTAAGATTCTCTCCTTATTTTTAATCTTGGGTAACTTAATGATGATGTGTTTTGGAGTGTTCTTCTTTGGGCCTAACTTCTTTGGGACTCTCTGAGCTTCCTAGACTTGTGAAAGTCTAGTCATTTCCTTGGCCAGATTGAAGTTTATATTTAATATTTTTATTCTTATTATAGTTAAGTTAAAGATATAACAATTCAAAGTAAAAATTTATATTTATATAATGATGTTCATTATTTCTCTAGTCATTTAAAAAACTGAATAGAAAAATTACCTATTTTTAGGATTAGAGAAATGCTAGAATCTGTAACAGCTGTTTGTATATATTTATACAAACTATAACATTATTGATGGATAGTTCTACAATCTATACAAATATCTACCTTAATTACAAATAACAACAATGCAACCAAAGAGGGAAAAAAACTCCAACTTTCTTCAAAAGAAATAAAAATGGCATGCTCCAGTTTCATTCAGGACAGTCATGGAAACATGCTATCAAATGTAAACATTAGATGAAGTGTGAAGAAAAGCCAAATGCATAAGAGTACTGTTGCCCGGCACACAAACTTTTGTGACTAAAAATAATACATATAGCTGAAACAAGAGACCACCACTGAGGGACTCTTTTATAATTTATACTCAAGGCTCAAGTATAAATATAAGGTCTACCCGATTTTCCCACCAGATACAAAGCAAAGAGAACTGTTCTAGCATGTTTTGTAAAAAGGGCTAAACCAAGAGGATACACATTATATATGTATTATACACACTCCCTGAATAAGACAGTACAGCAAATTCTTCAAGCGGGTACGAAGACTTCATTTTAGTCAGTTTAAGATTTAAATTTCAAATACTAATGATATGTGTCTAGACCGACACATTTCTTTAGTAGAGAGAAATAAAGTTCCTTTAAACTTGCAGTAAGTACATTTATTGGAATAATTTGGGATCCAGCTAATGCCCATTCAAAATAACTGCTCACAGAAAAAAGAGCCTAAATTACAGCAAATAAAAACTGTATCCAGTTTTGGGTATAGCACAAGGTCAGCATTTCTATTATCTTGAAAAGTGACTGGAAATGTCTCTATATTTTTGTGAGGAAAGGCAGAAATGTGAAATAACTAAGTTCACATTTAATTCTAGGCTCAATGCTGGTTAGGGCTACATGCCCCAAACATCTGCTAAGCAGATACCACACAATACTACGAAAGAGTCTGATGGCCTAGAGATTTTCAAAACTGTTTGAAAGTGTCACCACAAACGGGAGAATCAGAATGACAATAATATTGCTTAGCTCAAATAAAAACTTTTTACTATCAAAGCTTAGTTGACACAAAAATACTGAAATTTACAGAATCTTGTCTTGATGGTACACTATTAAGACAGACCAATATACTTAAATAAGTTTCAGACCAATATTAAAATTAGTACATAACCCTCTAGATATTTGAATTAATAGGTATTATAAGCCAAAATTATAAACTAGTATAATACTTGAATGCAATATTATACAATTTAGGAAACATTGCTCTCATGCACTCTCACCAAGATAAAGCACAGAAAAGTGTTATTCAACACAAGTTAAAATTTATGGGAATACTGATAACTCTGCGTAGACATTTAAATGATTAAGTGTTCATGTTTAGTCCTCTGTCCCTGCCCCAAGTGTAAAAATTTAAGTATATTTTACATAGGATATTAAATAATGCCATGTGTGAAAAGCAATGACTAAAAGTATAATAAACAATAAAAGCAACACTGGTGCTGCTACCCTACACTGGTAGGGTAACCAGAGTTTTAAAAACTCCACAGAATTTCAATAAAATTATTTAAATTACAGACAAAACATGAGCTCTGACTCTTACAGAAACAAATTTTCTTTTTACTTTAAGCATCTATAGGCCCAAAACATTGATTTGAGTAAAGGACAGAAAACCTCACTGGACGTTAGATTTGGTGGCAGGACAAATGAACTGCAGCTTCCCTGAAAAGAAACACGTCAGTCACACCAGGCATAATGCAGCGCACTGGGCCAAATGACAGGGCACGTACATACCACTCCACTGCGGGGGACCTACAGGGCAGATGGTTGTGAGTTAACAGACTTCAGACAACTGCACAGGTACACACAAAGAATATATACTTAAAACCACAAGTCTAGTGCTTTTTATAGTTCTGATTAAATAATTTTACAAAATTAAGTTTTAAGAGATTTGATTCAATAAATTTTACAGACAACTTCATTAACTTCTAAAAACATTCTATGCTCTGCCTAGACAATATTTTCTCAATTAAAAGGAAGTACCTTTGTTACTTTTCCTTAAAAAAATTATCTCCTATAAAAATCACTGCTTGATGTCTAAAAGTTTCCACACTAGGGGTTAGGCTATTGAGTGTGATAATTAACTTTGTTCCCGATGCTATTTTTTAATGCCTATGTCTTTTTGTTGTTGTTGTTTTAGGTGATTTCACTGAGGAAAGGCCTTGCTTATTTTGATGCTTCAAAAACAGCTAAAATGACAAACAGTTATAATAAAGTTTAAAAAAAACAAACCCAATCAGGTTAATATAGTCAACTCTAAGTTACAAGTATTCAGGTGAAGGGAAAGTGGTATGAATGGTCTAACAAATGTCACCAGTAATTTACACTTATAAATGCAGTGAACTCAGAGAGACCCTGAGCACCATTTGGTGCTATATGACGTGACGATGAGTGGTAACAGTGGAGAAAAAGAGAGTCAAAAAATACACACAAGTGTCCTCAAGACCTTCAATCATCTAACTGTGACTTCCTCTGGGACCATTTATAACAATGGTACAGTGCTCAAGATGTTTTTACTAATAGTCCACAGAGTTTGAAAATGTAATTTTTCCACAAAATAAGATAAATTAGCACCATATGGGTTTCAGTGGAACTAGCATTGTGTTTCCACGATAGTAATTATGACTGAATACCTGTTTAAATATCTGTTTCTACACTAGACCATAAGATTTCTGAGGCCTGAAACCATACATTCCAATATCCTACGTGCTGGCACAGTAATATTTACTGAATATATGCAAGGATGAATGAATAAATCAAAGAGTAAATGAACATCAGCAGTGAAAGATTCAGGTAAGTCAAACACATAAGTTAAAATGAGAGGTAACTTCTTCAGAAGAATGAATTGATTAACTAGAGCTTTTGCATTGCTAAACTGTTCTTATGAGTATGAAACAACAAAGAAATACACCAGATAAATAAGGTGGCAAAGAAATGACTGTCACATTATAAAACTTAGACTTACTGTTTTCGTATTTTATTGATTATTATTAGGATACTCTAAAATATGAAGTGCTTTGATCTTAAAAGGCTGCAGATATTTTGTACTCTCAGGTACCAAAGGACAAATTTTCTATTTTATCTAAGAAAAAAAAATATTCGTATTGCAAAATAAATAGAAATATTTTGTTATTTACATTATGAAAATGCTTACACTTTACTAAGTAGGCAGTGATTATACTTAAATTACTACTTTTGCATTGTAATAAAAACAACTTTAAATTTCATTAAGTAAAATATCAGGCAATTATACTTTATTCTGAAATAAAACAGCCAGAAAATTTTGTATGGATTTTCATAAATTTAATGTAAGGCATTTTAATAACAAGCAAAACTTTGTCAAGTTCTTTATTTATACCAAAATAATGTAAAATATAGTACACTGGGCCAAATGAGTTATGCATAAATTCAAATATTTGTTAAAGGAAGTTTCATAATAATAATAGTGTGTGTAGTTGTCATCCATAAAATTGGCCTCAAGATTCATAAGGAAAAATAGATTAGAATTCCTAAACAGAAGAAAAAGTTACCTTGCCTTCGTAGTTCATTTTTAACAGCTTCAACACCTCCCGTTTTTTCAATAAAATCATATATCACTTTTGATGTTTCTCTGTCTTTAAGTTGTGCCTCTGAGATTCCACACATATCAAAAAGATTCTTCAATTCTGGATCCAAATTATTCAGCTAAAACAGATAAAATAACCTCTAACTATAAAATCCCAATTTTTAAAAACAAGCATAATAAAATGTAATTATTTGTGCTCTTTATGAAATTATTTTGTTTATAAACTTGTAATATGGTTACATTATTTATATACTAACTCAACTTTCTTATTTAAAAAAGGTAAGAACTGGTTTTATATTTTATCTCTTTTTTATTCCTTGCCTTTGAAATTAGGGCATCTCATTTAGATTTTTTTTTCTAATCCGTTCATGATTCAGACATATTTAATGCTCACCTATTCCACTTTATCCTAAATAAGATTTACTTGTAACCACAAATAAATACCAAAAAACCCCACAAATCAATCTGAAAATTTGAGGGCAAGACCTGTAACCCTAAGCACCCTGTCCAGTGCCCAACACAAAGAGGAGCTCAATGCTTGTGGAGTTAATTCTGTAGTTATAACAAAACCAACAAAAGGATTTTTAACCTAAATCACAAATATTTATTTTCAAAGCAATTTTTCCAAATCCTGACTATCTGTCAAATGTGAAATACATATTAGGTAACCAAAATAGAGATAAAATGTTAAACTTTTTTTTTGCCTTAAGTTTCATCTATTTTGCTAACAGTACTATAAATTAATGAATGATGAAATTGCCAAAAAGAATAGCAGAATGAAAAGATCTAGAAAATTCAACAACTGGATATTCAGAATTTGATTATAGTACTTTTCAATAATTTGGCATGTATTTATTTCCCTGAAATAATGATTGAGCAGAAATAATCTCCTCTTTGCTTTAAAAACACAAGGACATAAGGCCAAGTCACGCAAAAACTTTAAAGATTTCGCCATGAGTGACAGAACAACACCATGGTGTCAAACCTCACTGGTATATGTACATAAACACAAACACATTCAAATAAACACTAAAATTCACCAAAGAATAAACTAAGAAGAGCTAAAAGATAGGCCACAGCATACCCACGTATTTAGAATAATAATGCTTATGGCTTGAAAAGATACTTACATCAAAGCCAGTATTTGGATCCCAACCAACATGCCCAATGTGCCTAAAGTAGAAGATGGGGGAAAAATGTACAGTGGGCATGAAAAACATGACATATATGAAATCCAATCCACCCGGTGAATTGTTGGCCTTAACAGACAGTTCTCAGACACATAACCATATTTGGGGAAAAAACTGCACAAGTAGTCAGGAGACCAGAATTCTAGACCAGACTCTGCTACTGAGTTTTAATTAACATTTTCTGTACAATCCTTCTGAGCATTCATTTCCTTAACTGTCAAACTAGCATAAGGATATAAACATTATACATAGAAGAGGAAAGGAATTTTGTAATGAGCTAATAAAATGCCTGCTATAGATTGTGTCTCTTGAATAATCGTTATGTTAAAACCTAATCCTCAATGTGACAGTAGAGGGGAAAATTTTAGGAAGTGATTATGAGGATGGCTGCCTTATGAATGGGATTAATGCCTTAAAAAAAGAGGCCCCAGAGAGCTTCCTCACCCTGTCTTAACATGTGAAGACAGAGCAAGAAAACACCCAACTATGAGCCAGGAAGTTGGGCCTCACCAGACACCAAATGTCGCTGGTGCCTTGATCTTGAATATCTCAGCCTCCAAAACTGTAGGGAATAAATTTCTGTCGTTTATGAGCCACCCAGGCTATGGTATTCTATTGCAGCATCTCAAACAGACTAGGACAATGTCTCTTGGCAACTACCAAATATCATTTTCTATAGAGAAAAGAGAAATCGTTTTTATGTACAACAATTAAAGAAACCACTTTATCTAATTTTTCTTTTCTAATGAGTGAAAAAGTAAATAAACTGTAAGATTCATAGAAAGTCTAATGAGCAATAGCTTTAAAAAAAACAAAACTCCTATGTCATAGGAAATGGAGTATCTGAAGAACCTATGCAAGACGCAGGGACATGAACAAGGGTGTGAGACTGCCTCAGGGAGTGGGGGCGCTGGGGGGGGAGAGCAAAGAGGGGAGAATTGGGACAACTGTAATAGCCTAATCAATAAAACAATTTTAGAAATAAGATAAAATAAAACTCCAACACAAACTAACTAAAATACATGTGATAAATGTAAGGGTACTTATCAAAAAGAAAATAAAATTTTCCAGCAAGTTAAAAATCAAAAGCCATAATGAATAAATAAAAAATAAAGATTAAAAACAACAAAAGCACTGTCTTACTGGAAGTTGCTTGGTGTTCCAATATCTGCCTTGGTTAATCTCTTCTTTTTAGCTTTTCCTTTTTTCTTTTCTTTGGTATGGGAGATATTGTTGACTTGTGGACTGTAAAACCTATTGGTTGTGATTTCTGGATTTTTTATGTCAACTGTTGCCATGGGTAGATTAGGACCTGTAAATAAGGTCAAAATAATACATAAAGGATATAATTTAAGATAACAAGTATTACAATAATAACATAACTCAAATGTCTTTTTTTAAGTAACAGTACTTCATTATTACATATTAGATTTTAGACTTGCCAGCTAATTTTTAATAAATAATAAAAAAAGAACTGCCTACATTTTAAAAAAACCTATAAATTCTTAAACACATTATCATAGATACATTATTTTAAAACATACCTATATTTTTATAACATTAAATTTAATTGTAATAGCCTCAATCCCAACAGATTAGTCATTGATAAAGTGGTATATATTACATAACAAGGTTAGTAAAAGTGAAAGAGCCATCTACTTTTAAATCTAAGAAAGAAATCGAGTCTTACCTCTTTTGTTTTACTTCAGTAGTTCATGAGAACAAAAGTACTTATGCAATTATTGCTATTTTTCCAAAACTGCCAAATTTAAGTCCAGTAATATTCTCCCATCAGTATATATACACACACTTTGACTATGAGAAATATAGAGCTCAAAAACTTAAAGTGAAAAAAAAAAGTTCTCAAAGCTCTCATTTTCAGCGGCATCAACAGTAAAAATATCTCAGGCACCTTCAGATACTATTAATAGCATCTTTACGAGTTACATTAAATGTAGCACAAAACCTGTTTTATGAATCACAAAAACATTCTTGGTCACAGAAGCATGAAAGTGTGAACAGAATGTATTTCACTTCAAAATTCATTATAAAATTACCTAAAAAGGAACACATGTTCCTTAGAGGTCCCGTTTTAATATATGATTCTCTAAAATACCTCTAAACAGAACAAAGTCCTGTGAGGTGATTAATGACAGTTTTCAAAATGTTGTATAAAATACAATCACCACTGTGCAGAAAAACAGCAACACAGGTCTGGCACTGCTATCCCTTGTAAGGCCTGCTTGCAAGGTTGGCCTTTAGTTGCTTTCTGTGAACTTGGATTTCAAGAGGGTTCTCCTTATTCCCTGATAAGATAGGCTCACTGTTTCTCAACTGTTTGCAGTAACAATGTGGTTTATGCTAAACAGTTGCTTTCCTTCTCAGAGATTAGAATCTTGATATGTACTATACATAATCAGCAACCTATATGTCTAGCCACCTGAGCTTTAAACAATAAACTGAGGCTCTAACAACCTTCTTTAGACAACATTTCACAAGAGTTTTCACAATTCATTATTGGAGAAGTTAAGCTTACCCTTGTGACTTCAGTGAGAGAACTCTTGTGTGAATTCCCCCAGACTTAACCTATGTGCCTTCCCCACTGTTGATTTTATTATATATCCTTTCACTGTAATAAATATTTGCCATTGAGTCCAGCCACTGTTAATATAAGGAGAATGGTTCTGCAACATTAATATAACCTGGCAGCCAAGGAGAGTGGACTGGAATGCGCATGGGTGAACAATGACAACTTTACTGTACTAGTAATTGTTCACAGACACTGAGCATGTTTACTGTGTGGCTGTTGCATTCAAAATTACAGCGTGTGTAGAGCAGTAACTGCATCAAATTTTGCTTTAAGCATGAATGGAAACTCTGCGGAAACTATTTAGATGATTCAGAAGACTGCAGCTATGAAGTACTGATAACTGGCAGCTTCATCACGACAACATGCCACTCATGCATCATGTCCTAAGCAGATTTTTTTTCGTGAAACATCAAACCACCCAGGTGATTAAGCCTCCCTAAAGCCCAGATTTGGTGCCCTGTGACTTCTGGATTTCCCTAAAACTAAAACCACTTCTGAAAGGGAAAACATTTCAGACCTTCAAAGAGATTCGCGGTAATACAACAGGGCAGCTGATGGCCATTTCAAGAACTGTGTGAGGTCCCAAGGTGCCTACTTTGAAGGGGACTGAAGCATCACCGGCCTATGTAGTTATTTGTTGTATCTTGTATCTTCTTGAAGAAATGTCTCTATTTTTCATATTAAATGGTTGGACGCTTTCTGGAGAGACCCTATATGCTAGGTCCTGTTGAATCCTTCTAGCAAATCACCAAATGTGGTGTTTGTCCTGGGGACCTGAACACAATAGAACAGCAAGCAGAAACCCCAAGAATCAATAGGCTGATGTATAATTAAGTGATCATTAAATGCCCATTTGACTGTAATTCTTCAATTGTGCCAGAAACCTCAAAGTTATCTAAAATTACCTGAAAGAAAAATATTTACGTACTTGGGTAAATTATACATATAACCCTTATTCTCTCTAGTATTTAAGATGAAATAAAGATATAATAAAATTATGAAAGCTATCTGACACCTTATCAAACAAGTAAAAAATCTGGCAAAATATGTATGTTTAATATCACCAAAGTCCAGCTATTTTCCTTTACTATTCCAAGTACACTTAAATACAAGTATAATATCTAAAAGTTCTACTTATAATTTTATACAAAATTCCATAGGAAGTTGCTCAGGATGGCAATAAATGAATTCTGCTTAGAAAAAATGGAAGCTAGTGCATAATAAGGGTAAAGTCATTAAACGCTAATGCAGTATGTTAAGGAATAATCTGAAAATAACTGGATCAAGAATTAAAGGTTAATTGTCTATTCAAGTTCTCTGCCTATTTAACTGGATTTTGTTGTTGTTGAGTTGTATGAGTTCTTAATATACTCTGGATTTAACCCTTTATCCAGAGGTACTGTTTTCAAACATCTTCCACTCAATTGGCCACCTTTTTTTGTTCGGTTGACGGTTTCTTTTGTTGTGCAGAAGCTTTTTAGTTTGATATAGTTCATTTATTTTTGCCTTTACTTCCCCTGCCTTTGAGGTACACCTCTCCTAAAACATACAAAAGACCAAAACATAGATTAAAAAGATGCTCAACTTCACTATCTATTAGGGAAATGCAAATCAAAACTGCAATGAGAGACTACCTCACAACTGTCAGAATAGCTACTATCAGCCTTGGCTGGTGTGGCTCAGTGGATTGAGTGCTGGCCTGTAAATCAAAGGGTCGCTCGTTCAATTTCAGTAAAGGGCACATGCCTGGGTCAGGGCCAGGTCACCAAAGGGGTGTGCGAGAGACAGCCACACACTGGTGTTTCTCTTCCTCTCTCCCTCCTTCCTTAAATACGCCCCCCCCCCCGCCAAAAAAAAGGAAAGCTGAGGATAGAGAAGGCACAGCATGTCTGGAAAGATTCTGATTACTGATTGCTGCACAACAAACTACCCCCAACAAATGGCTACTATCAATACGACAAGTAATGTGTAATACATGCAGATCCTCCCAAACTGCTTATTTGTTTCATAAGCAAGTGTTGGAGAGGTTATAAAGGAAAAGGAACTCTCTTTCACTGCTGGTGGGGGTGCAAAATAGTACAAACTCTATTAAAAACAGTTTGGAAATTTCCCCTAAAGTTTCAAGAATGGAGTTACCGTGTGACCCAGCAACCCCTCTTCTGGGTAACTAACTGAACATCCAAATACATTTGTTAACAAAGATATATGCGCCCCTATGTTCACTACAGCATTATTCACAGTGGCCAATACATGGAAACAACCAGTGTCTTTCAATAGATGATTGGATAAAGATGTGGTACATAGATTCAATGGAATCCTACTCTCAGCATTAAGAAAAAATGAAATGCTGCCATTTGTGACAACATGGATAGATCCTGAGAACATTATGCTAAGCAAAACAGATCAGACAGAAAAAGTCAAGAACCATATGATTTTACTCATATGCAGGAATTAAAACTGAAAGCAACAAATGAACAAACAAGAAAAACAAAAACTCGCAGGGACAACATCATGATGGCTGCTACCAAAGGGAAGGAGTGTGGGGTAGAGGTAAAAAAGAGTAAAAGGGGTCAAATACATGGTGATGAAGAGATGTGACTTTGAGTGGTAAACACACGATGTAATATACAGGTGATGTATGATAGAATTTACATTTGAAATCTACATAACTTTTTAAAGATTTTATTTATTTCTAGAGAGAGGGGAAGGGAGGGAGAAAGAGAGGGGAAGAAACATCAGTGTGTGAGAGACACATCAATCGGCTGCCTCTCACATGACCCTAACTGCGGACCTGGCCCCCAACCCAGGCATGTGCCCTGACTTGGAATCAAATCAGCGACCCCTCGGTTTGCAGGCTGCACTCAATCTACTGAGCCACATCAGCCAGGGTGAAACCTATACAATTTTATTAAGCAATGTCACTCCAAGCATTTAATTTTTAAAAAGTGAAAAACAAAACAATACAGAAGGCTTATTAAAGAGTAGATTAAGACTTGAATTTTCAAAGTTGTTCATATATCAGATTTCTGTGTTTGCTGTAATTTCACAAAATAAGGGGACTTACTGAGAATAACTGGATTCATGTGCTAGATAGCTGAACTGGGGTCATTCACATACCTTCAAAGATTTATCTATCTAGTGACGTGATTTTACTTCTCATTCTCCCATTTCTGCATTCCTTCTTCTAATTTATCTTTACCAATCAGTACAAGCAACACTGTCCACAGTAAGAAGGTGCAAATTACTATTTACTTTCTTAACTTGATACTCAGTAGTATAAATAGAATAGGATTTAAGCACTGACTGAAGAAAGATTCAGGACCACCAAGAGTTAGGCACTCTCTTTATTCATTCGACTCCCTTCTTGAACTACATGATCATACAGCAATTACAAGGTTAAGCAAAAGTAGGTTTACAGTTGTGAGTATGCAAAACAGTTTACTCTTGTATTAAATTGTATTAATTTTATCCAAACTGTATACCTACTTTCTCCCATCCCGTATAAAAAAGCAACCAGATTCACCATTAAAACAAAACAAAATTAACAATACAGTTAACCCTTGAACAACAGAAGAGTTAAGTGTGCCAACCCTGAGCAGTCAAAAATTTGTGTGTAACTTCTGCCCCCCCAACTAATAGCCTATTGTTAACCTATAGTATTACCATGAACAAAAAGTCAATTAACATGTGTTTTGTATGTTATGTGTATTATATACTATATTCTCACAATAATGTAAACTAGAAAAAATGGCATTAAGAAAATAAAAAGAAAATATGTTTACTGTAGTGCTTGCATTTACTGAAAAAAAATCCACAAATGGACCTGAGTAATTCAAATGGTGTTGTTCAAGAGTTGATTGCAATTAGTTTTTACAAAAAAGCAAATAAAATATTTTTACGCTGCTTTAGATTATATAAAATAATCTATTACATTATGGATGTTCTAAATGGTAAGAGCTGGGTAAAGTTAACTTTAACAGTTTAAGTTGTCCAAGCTACTGAATTATTTTCTGGGAAATAATAAAGAAAAGGTTCTTATAAGTCCAATTCATAACTCACTAGAGAAATTAACTCAGCCACTCATCCCTTGTAGTAAGTTCAAGGATGAGGAGGACAGAGGCAAAATACAAATACTATGTAGAATAATAAAGTTTAACTAATACTGGAGTCACACTGTTTCCCTTCCTTCCTCTACCCAAAAACCAGGTATGAATAAACTGTTACGCATCAGCCATGCAGTTATAAAGCCCTGGCATTGGCTATTTAGTGTCATTACATATAGATTACTTTAGTACTTGCTAAAACATTTTTTAAGTCTATATAATAAAATCCAGATTAAAGTCATGTACAGAAAATTACTATTAGCTGGGATATTACATAGTTGCTTCTAAACGTCTCATTTTATATATAAAACTAAGGGCAAGAAGCATCATCAGGCAACCTGTCTGAAGTCACACAATTAATGACAAGGACAAAGGTGAACTCTATCTTGGTTCCTAGACCTCTAATCTTTCTAATAATTCTTGCACCTTCTACACAAACTTCCAATCACAAAGTGATTGATAATGCTAACACTACAAACATTAGTTATTTCTTTATTATTTTATCAGTTCTCTCAGTATGTAGTCCAATAAATCATCATTCGAGAACCTACAAACTTTTAAAAAAAGGTTTTCTAGACATTCAACCATTATTTTGGTTGACAGTAGTCATTTACTTTAGAGCTTGGAAGTGTCATTAAGTTTAAAATGGTGATCTAAAGCTAAATTAAATATTTGTTTCAAAAGTGACACACTAAAAAAAGTGATAATTGGTATAAGGTAGAGTCACTTTTTAATAAGTAAATTTTATAAAAGATGTGGCCACACAGATACTCTTGAAGCACTTCTAATAAAGCTTGTATTAATTCTTCCATTTATGAAGTTACACTCATCCCAAGAACATGTACTAAGTAAATATAAAATGGAGGGGGCTATTTCCCTTCTTTTTTTTTGAAGGAAAAAAAGTCAAACAGCAAATTACCTTCTGATTTAAGGAGAATTTTTACAGAATGTTTTTTTAAAATATTTTCATTGAACAGCATTTCTGATTTTAAAACTGAAAGAACAAACTAAAGTCTTCCCCTTAAATAAGAGAAAGCAGGAACTCTCACCAAGGTAAAATAGTTGATCCAGTTGGCTCAGAGGCCTCTGATGTAAAGCACACATGAAACTGAGAACAAATCTTATTGGAAAGCATCTAAGCTAAAAGGTGAGGCTGACCAGTAAGGAAAGAAGAAAGATGTGTGGATTACGAGGTACTAAAGAAGATCCCAAACTGCATTTCAGGAATATATGTTACTTCTGCATAGGGTGTCTTTTTAATAGTTACAGCTTGAGAACGTCTGCTAAATTAATAATCTGAATGAGAATCTGAGACAACTGCAAGGCATTTCAGGTGTCCACTGCCACCTAGTGGTATTGTACCAAATACAGAAAAATAGTATCTGTCTCCAAACTAGGGGTCTCCATGCACAGTAGAATAACAAGACAACCAACTGCAGAGCAGAAAAAATTTTTTAAAGTTTCTATTAATAACTATTTCATTGTTTACTATCATTTAATTTATTAATACCATATTATGTATATATTTTATAAATAAATAAGTATACAATACAGATAATGTATGGTGTGTATTCTTGCCTTTTTAAAAAAAAATATTTTATTTATTTATCTTTAGAGGGGAAGGGAAGGAAAGAGGGAGAGAAACATCAATGTATGGTTGCCTTTCGTGCGTCCCCTGCTGGTAACTGGCCTGCAGGGAACTGGTCTGCAACCCAGGCATGTGCCCTGACTGGGAATCGAACCGTGATTATCTGGTTCGCAGGCCCGAGCTCAATCCACTGAGCTACACCAGCCAGGGCTTATTTTTGCCTTTTAATGACACTATTTGTTTTGTAACTCTCTATGTATTTAATGAAAAGAAGTCTGGAACAACTGCACCAAAGGGTTAGAACTACAGATCTAAAAATTTAAAACCAAGATCAATCTCAGAGAAAGAAGCTACATTAATTATTAGTATCTCTCTTAGTAGAGGTAATAAAATTTTGAGACACCACTGTCACATAAAGAATATTCAAATTCTATCTACTCATGGATTAGGTTACCCCTTCAGAAATACATTTTATATCCACTGAAAAGATTAAATTGTTAAAAAATCACAAAGTATTTGCATCCTTTAATGATATTACTTGTACAACATCTACCCTTTAAACTCTCAGGTTACTTTCTCCAGAGAGGCCACCACTACGAAGCCTTTCCCATTGGTACCTGATATATGCTCAAAGAATGCAAAATAATTTAATAAACTCAAAAGAAATTAAAATATTGAGCACACCTCAAGGAACAAGAATTAGAATACTGCTTTAAAGGTTCACAGATAAATGACTTCTGACTCAGCTGCTTCTGCTGCTTCCTTTGCCTCTGCCACATACTAGCTGCATACATTGAGGCATGTCACTTACCCTCTCTAGGTCTCAGTTTCTCCTTCAAAATCTTGAGTAGCAGTCATTAAGGAAGGGCCCAGGCTCTGGAGTTAGACCTCTTGAGACTGAATCCTGTTCTACCACTTACTAGTTAGATGACCTTGAACAGGTTACCTATCTATAACCTAGTTTGCTCACGTATAATATGCTGACATTAGGAGACACTTCATAACACTGTCGGACAGTGCCTGGCAAGTCATCGGTGATAATTAAATAGTAGCTGTTATTATTATTGTTCTTTCCTTTATCATGATAAGTAATATTTATTGAGCACTATGCTAAGCACTTTAAGTACTTCATTTAATTTCCACAGGAGCCCTAAAAACTTTGTATTCAATTTTCCATTTAAAATAGAAAGTTAAAGTATACAATACTTGACACGTGGTAAGTACTACTGAAGGTAGTCAGACATTTAAAAATAAACAGGTAAGGCAAATAATCCAAAATTTAATACAACAATATTTGGTTATGTTTTTATATTGGAAAAGAAATTTAAGGACAAATCAGAAAGCAATATAACTGTTTAAAAGAAACAAACCCCAACAATCACTACAGTTGTCATATATTAATAACTGTTACTATGTTAAGTGTTTCCACAAATAATTATCCTAAATTCTGATGAGAATTTGAGGTGCTTAAAGCAGCAGCTACATTTCCTATGACAATGAAGGCTCCTGGGCTAATAGTTATTTATCTTTATAGGGTCAAGGGTCCCATTTAAATGTGATCAAAGTCATGGATTCTCTCTCCCCAGAGAAAAAAATCATATACATTTACAAAATTTAGCACACAATCTCAGGGAAGATTTATGGAGTCGAGATGATAATCTCTGCACCAGAGGTCTGGGGCTTTGTCATTTATATCTTGATATTTCCATATACAGTATTTTTAAAATAAATGAACCCATAATACTTCAAGTGTTCATTACTCAATTACAGAGGGTTATGGGCAGCTATTATCAGGTTTAAATATACCATCATAATATGTACTCATTCTGAAAGGGGCTAATTTCACATTACTAGTGTGAAATGGTATTTTGCAGTAGACAAAAAGATAAACCAAAAGCAGGAAATAAACAAATATGGTAAGCAAAATGTAGTCCCTTTATGGAATATAGTAAAACTAGATTGTGCAGTTTCTAAACTTATTTAATAAATACAGAATGAAGATATAATAGTAATCTTTACCCTACGTAGTATTCCTTCATCCTAGAAAAAAGACAAATGGTACATTTTCTGGGCCTCATCTATCATCTGTTATTTTAAAATAAGAACATAAGAAACTGTAGTATAAGGTCAGCTCTTAAATATTAGCCACAATGTATGATACACATTTCTACAAGGATTAAACTATAATCTAAGGTCTTTTTTGATGAAAATTATCAAATAACTTACCATTTGGGGGGTCTCGTCTTTTCTCTGTTAGAATGTAAATTAAAATAATATTATTAGACATATATAATAGAAACATCAACATAAAAAATTAATTTACCCAAACTCCTGTCTTTATCCCTAAGTTGATGTGCAGATGGTTAAAGTTCTCACCAAGAAACTGACATTTGAGCAGACATCTGAAAAGTGAGAGAGGAACAACATATTCAAAAGCCCCAAAGAGGAAACAGCATAAAGGAACACCATGAAAATTGGACAAAAGAATGGGAAAGGAAGAGTGGAAGGAGATAAGTTAGAAGGAGAGTCAGGGACTGGACAATGTAGGGTCCCAAAGGCCATGGTTAAGGAATATATTAGATTGCATTCTATGTATAATAAGAAGCTCTTACTGGGTCTTATATAGGGCAAGTAACATGATATAATGTTTTTAAAAGTTTACTCTGGTACTATGTAGAAAAAAGATAGTAGGAGATGTAGACTGGCAACAGGGAGACTAGTCAGGGAGTTAAGAGTAGTCCAGATGACAGATGATGGTGGTTTTAATTAGGGTGGTGGCAGCAGGTGATGAGAAATAGATCCAGGATGTGTTTCTGAAGGTAGAGCCAGTGTGACTCACTGACAGATTTATGAGAGACCACTGTGAACCAGAGTGATAAAGTGGAACCAATGCCTCTCTCTGACAGATGAGGAAGACTAGGCAAGAAAAAACAGGTCTGACTGGGACTGGGGAACATGGATCAAGTGTTCCGCTCAGATATGCTAAATCTGAAGATTATTCTGACACCCAACTAAAGCTGAAGTTGAGGGAGAGGTCAGTATTGTACATGAAACTTTATGAGTCACCAGCATATGAACAGTATTCAAAGCTACAGGACAGAATGAAAGCACACAGGTGATGGGAATACCCAGAGATGTCAGAGTACTGGGATATTTTCAGCATATTATGCTTTATTATTTCAAGAAAGGTAAATATGCAACTGAAATTTAAAAAAAAAGATTTGTGCAGTGTATGGAGAAGGTGCTGTGATTGATTGAACATGTCAAAAGTGGTTTGCAAAGTTTCTTGGTACTACTGACATTCTGTCCAAAAAATCCTTTGCTGTGGGACATTCTTAGACATTGGAAGATGCTCAGCAGCACCCCTGGCCTTGACCCACTGGAAGCCACCAGAGGGAGACAGCTGACGTACTCAAAATATCCAAATCAATAAAGTTACTGGTGAAAAAGAAAAATCTGTCATTTACAGGAAAAACTAAACACTTTCTGGCCAACCCAATATTACAAGAATAAACTCTTTTGTGTACTCATTAACTGTAAACTTACTTTTGCCCACCCCTGTATTTTGACTAAAAGGAGTCTCAGTGAGCCCCTAGCATATCACTATAGCATGTCCCTGAAATAGGCACTGAACCAGAGGTAATTCCATAGTATTAAATCCTTTCCTAAAATGGAATCAAGCAGCAAATGTCTCAGCCCTCAAAAGATGTAACAAAAATAATAGGTCCCTAATACTTCTTCTACTCACTCATTACACGTGGGATATGAGTGAGGCAACACCTCACCTCTCACTTGCAAATTCATTAAAAGAACAATAAATATGTTTAAACTGGAATATATGTTTTCACATGCCTGTTTTCTGGCTTCAATTTCTTCCATTTTTATGGCTTATTTCCTCTAGTTGGTAAAGTACAATCTTGAATACAGTGATCTTCAAACTGGGATAACATGTACCCCTGGATGTACAGAAATACTTTTCAAAAAGTATAAAAGAATAGCTAGCTTTGTAGGGTATCTACTCACAAATTCCTTTGTGTTATTTTTCCTACACTGATCTGCTTATTACGATTCTAGGGATTTCCAATCACGATACGGTATTAGCATAGGTAAACACAGCTTGCCTCCTTGCACAATTACATCAAAATTACGATTAAATTGTAGAACAATCACCACTCAGAACCATCAGAAATCAAGCTGAATGGAAGTCTGACAACTCTGGAAATAAAGAAACCACATTCATCCAGACTGGTAGGAGGAGCTGGTCCTAAACCCCCATGTGGTGGTTAAAAGATACCTTGGGAGTAGAGTCCCAGCCACACACTATGGCCCCTGACCCCTGGCCCAGGGTTCCAGTGCCAGGAACATAAGTGCCAATAACTTTTGGCTTCAAAAACCATCAGGGATTGAGTCAGTAGAAGAAACTCCTGGAGACCCAGGCAGCTCCTCTTAAGGAAACCACACAAGGGCTTACCAAGACTCATTCCCTCTGACTTCCAGCACTGGGGTAGTAGCTTGAATGGCACCAGTGGCATAGGGGAAGGAAGTGAAGTGTCTGGCATCAAGGCGAGAGCTGGAGGACAGTCTCTTCCAGACAGAAAGGCAGGCAGAGGCCACTGTCCCTTTTCTGAACGCAACAGAGCCACAGAGCTAGTAGATGGGTGCTATATCTGAGAATCCATCAACCTGGCTAACACTATTTGCTGTGTTAGATCCCCTGAGGCTCTATCCCACCCAACTGATAGCTGTTAACAGTAGCTTTTTGATATGAATGGCTGGTCTTGGCTTATGCTTCACTAGGAAACCAATAGTAATGGAAAGGAAACTGGGACTCAAATCAAAGGAGTGGACCAGAAGAAGAAAAAAAAATGACCAAACAGAAAAGAGTGAAGAAACAAGAATTCAAAAAAATGAGGAGAGGCTTAAGAACCTTCAGGACATCTTTAAACGTTCCAACATCCCAATTATAGGGGTACCAGAAGGGGGAAAGGAACAGCCACCAGTGGAAAACTTATCTGAACAAATAATAAAGGAGAACTTCCCCAATCTGGCAAAGGAAATAGACTTCCAGGAAATCCAGGAAGCTCAGAGAGTCCCAAAGAAGTTGGACCCAAGAAGAAACACACCAAGGCACATCATCATTACATTAGCCAAGATTAAAATGAAGGAGAGAATCCTAGAAGCAGCAAGAGATAAGGGGAGAGTCACCTACAAAGGAGTTCCCATCAGACTGTCAGCTGATTTCTCAAAAGAAACCTTACAGGCAAGAAGGGGCTGGAAAGAGGTATTCCAAGTCACGAAATCCAAAGACCTACAACCAAGATTGCTCTATCCAGCAAAGCTTTCATTTAGAATGGAAGGACAGATAAAGTGCTTCTCAGATAAGATCAAATTCAAGGAGTTCATCATCGCCAAGCCCTTATTATATGAAATGTTAAAGGGACTTACCTAAGAAAAAGAAGATAATAAAGATGAACAGTGAAAGGACAGCAAACTCACAGTTACTAAGAACCACACCTAAAACAAAAGCAAACTAAGAGGACAGCTAGATCAGGAGCAGAACCATAGAAATGAAGATCACATGGAGGGTTAGCAACAGGGGAGTGGGAGAAGGAGAAGGGGGGAGAAGGTACAGAAAATAAGTAGCACAGATGGTAGGTAGAAAATAGGGGGAGGGCAAGAATAGTATGGGAAATAACTTGAGAACTTGAGACACGTGGTCATAAACTTAAAGGGGGGAATGGTGGGGGAGGGGGTATGCAAGGTGGAGGGGAATGAAGGGGGGAAATAGAACAACTGTATTAAAAAAAGTACAAATAGGTACCTACAGAGTAGCCATGGGAGTGTAAAGTACAGTACAGGAAATGGAGTAGCCAAAGAACTTTTGTGTATCAGCCATGGACATTAACAATGGCGTAGGGATTGCCTGAGGGACTGGGGGGTGCTGCATGGAAGGGGGGGCAAAGAGGGATAAATTGGGACAACTGTAATAGCATAATCAATAAACTATAATTTAAAAGAATAGGTGATTCTGGAGAGGTTCACCTTTTTTAATCACCCTTCTACTTTACAATAGAAAGGCCTGGCACACTGTTGTCAAATGGTTCCATACCAATAATTTAAAGCTCTGTATTGCAATGCATCATTTTCTAATTGTTTTATATGTATTAGACTCTTATGCATTAAACTAAGTTCCTCGTGGTTTCATAATTTACAATTTTAGGGACAAAGAGAGAAGGCAATGTTTGCAGATCTTCTTCCCAACTCTTCTTATTTGCTTCAAGGTTTGCCTAAAGTATTTGATCACAAAGTACAAAATACTTTTAAAAGTGTAAGTTACAAATAATACCATAAAAATACAAATTTAAAAGTATATGTTGACAAAAAAGGGTTATTGGAGTTCCTCAGCAAATCTGAAACATATTAGTTCTTAATAAAAATATTATTTTTTTTAAGGAAAGGACTAGCAAACTTTTTAAAATAAAGGGCCAGATAGTAAATATATGAGTGCCAGTCTTTGTCATAACTGTCCAGCTGTGTTGTGACAAAAAGCAGCCACAAACAATATGTAACCCTACAACTATAGCTGTGTTTCAAAAAAATCTTTATTTTCAAAAATAGGCAGAGGGCTAGATTTGCCCTATAAGCCATAGTTTGCCAGCTCCTGTTTAAAGGAATTTAAAAAATAAATGTTTACCAGATTTTCTTTGTCGCCGACCCAACAAGTCTGTAACTGCTTTTCGGAATTTTTTTGCTTCTTCTTCATTGGCAAAATTAAGAGCAACTTGACAAGTCTAAAATATTTTCATGAAAAACATAAATAACAAAAAACATGAATTTAGTTTCATATAACAAAAAAGTCGACACTCAACAGAAGTACATTTCTAAAGAAGGAAAGCTTAACTTTTTTAGCAGATAAGAACTGATTTTATCACCTGAATAATTAAAAAAGGCAAAAAATAAAAAGGTAAAAGATTACTATTAGAAAGTTACCAATCATGGCAGATGCTAAAATATTGAATTGAATACCTTCAACAAAAAACTAAGTAGCAAACTGAATTTGATCCTTCAGTAGAGCTCTGTACATAATTCAGATTAAAAAAGCAAATACTTGGAAAAGTTGGTAAAATGTAGGTCAGCTCTATCTTTACTAATGTTTTCATTTTATAGCTTAATTATAGACATTAGTTAAATTATCACCTTAATTCAGGTTAATTATTAAAAATATGGAAACATAACGACATTATTTATTATGGAAATTAGTGCACACTTAAATATGTGTATATTTATATCCTAGCAAGAGAAATATGAAAAATCATACCTAGAAAATACTGTCAGAAAAGACAGATATACCATCTAATCCAAACCTTTTTCTCATTGTAGAAAATTTTAAAAACACACGTATAAAAAGAAAATTAAACTCACCCATAATCTACTCACTCAGAAAATCCCTGTGAGTATATGATATAAAAATCCTTCTAATATTCCCCTCCAGTATATGCAAAATTTTAAAAACTGTTTTCTCCCCCACTAACTGTATTTTAGCACTCTTCTAGGTGAACTATTCTTTCAGAAAATAATTTGAATAGCAATAAAACACTGAATATTTAAAAGTAACCAAGGATTAGTGAACAATTAAAACTTCATTTTTATACGTATGAAAACTAAACCCACAGAGGTTAATCTATTTGCCTGAAGTCAAACTGGAGATTAAATTACCTACCTAATGACAGAGAGAAGATAAAAAAAAAGTCAACTCCTAGCCCTGGCTGGTGTAGCTCAGTGGATTGAGCTCGGGCCTGCGAACCAGACAATCGCGGTTCAATTCCCAGTCAGGGCACATACCGGGGTTGCAGGCCGGTTCCCTGCAGGCCAGTTCCCAGCAGGGGACACATGAAAGGCAACCATACATTGATGTTTCTCTCCCTCTCTCCTTCCCTTCCCCTCTAAAGATAAATAAATAAAATCTTTAAAAAAAAAAAAAAAAGTCAACTCCTTTCTACACAGCAAATTACATTTACAGTCCTTTTAAAACTGTTCTTCCTGGCCTTAAAATCTTAGCTAGTTCCTCTGATTTAGCTATAATGTCTATGAAGTTTTTAAAAGTAAAATAATTCTTTTTTATACAATGTTTACACAAAAAGCTCATACACGCCTTCCACAGACAAATGTAAAAGCAATTACATTAAACAAGTCAGTAAGAAAAAATACAACTCACATCTCCAGCAAAGGTATGAAAATATCCTCTAGGACTATTATATATAAAGTTATTGTATAGTTCCTGTTCCCACAATAATTTCCCATCCTAGGAAAAAGTAAAAGTTACAGTTACCAAAAAAATAATCTCTAGGAATAAAACAAAGCAGGTGACTAGTATTAAGAGATTACGAAGATTCACAATAGTTTTTACATACATACATACAACATACATAACACATCATATAATTTAATTAGTAACTTAATAACAAAAGAGTAAACATTGGATAATGTTTCTTTCATAAAAATTACATACCAAGTGAGTTTAATTTGGTAAACTAAGACATGATCTCATTTAGCCAAGCATTCCCAAATATATTTATACTTGTTCAACTGCATAACTAGCACAATTACTAGATCGATGTTATAAAGGAGGACAGTTTTATACATGTGCTGATTATCAATGTATAGTTTCAACTCAATACTTATAGGCTGTGTGCCAGTAAATATTACATCAAGATTTCATGCTCTTTATCTCAATTCTGCAGATGCTGGGACTGTCAATTATATCCATCTTCTCTGTACTGCTCATTAACAGTCTTTGAATTCCCAACTTTTGCAGAGTGGCCTCCTAATGAAACACCGGTTTAAGTAGTATCAATCACATGCAGAAAGAAACCAATAATTACAGTGCACCATGGTTAAACTATCGTTAAAAGAGCCATGGGTAATTGTCATATTTATAGCCCTAGTATAAGAAATATAATTAACCTTAATACCAAAGGTGGCTAATTGCAAGTATTCAGCAATGGTTATTTACAACTGAAAAGAGTGGTTAGGGACATACAATCACTGCCCAATTTGGAAATGCAAGGTTATATCTATACCACAATTTAAAAATATCTACAATACACTGTACATTGATTATGACCACTATAAGTGAAGTTCTTTTTTTTCTGTGTGGAGTTACATGTGTGTTCCATTTCTAAACAGTATTTCTCATTGATGAAAAATACAGGGTAGGGTAAAAGTAGGTTTGCAGTTATGAGTAAGCAAAAATTTATTCTTAAATTATTTTCATACAAACAACTATAAACCTACTTTTGTCCCACTCTGTTTGTCAAAGGACTTAGGGGTTCCTTTCAAACTATGCATGTGTTTCCGCAACCCCCAGAATCACTGCCACATTGAGCTACTGCAGTAACAGCAAGTGTGCCGTGTCTCTCAGCACTCTTAGGGGATGGGGATATGGATGAAGCAGCACTCGTTTACAAAGTGCAGTAACTTAAATTTCACTTAATCTCAGGGAAATACTTTGTTACAGGCCTAGATAGTTATCCTAATTTACAAGGAAATAAGCTGGGCACAGAGAAGTAACAACAGTTTGATTACAATCTATCTGACCATAAGTATCATGTCGGAGTTCAAAGTACATTTTAGTTTTCTGTAATTATAATCCCATTGTAAGTATTGCCACTTACAAATATTAAAGAGGCTTACTATGAAAAAGGTTTCAAAGATAAGTGGAGATTCATCTCAGCAAAAGGAGAATTACTTTTATAACAACTTTGAAGGATGACTACTGACAAAGGGCATCCAATCCAGTACAATGGGGATTTATGATTCACAGTGAGGGATACAAAGCTGTAAAAATCTGAAAAATACCTGTGCTAAGAAGGAACATAAGGAAAAATGGGTGGCAAATACATTATTAATAGATATTGTATAATGCTTTAAACCTGGGCTGGAGTAAATGACAGTACATACTGAACTAAAATATACTTTTGGAATTCCTAAAAGGACTTATATGCTGGTCTGTAATGGACAGGATAGAATAAAATAGTACCACTGGAAAGGAAGAGAATATAGGGAAAGCCTAAGGCTCAAAGGCTTAAAACATAAACAATGGCAGGAGAAAGATAAAGTAGGGAACTACTCATATCCTGGCTTGGGACATGTTCCCATTTGGTCTCAATGCCCGTGCTTCAATATCAAACACCAAGCTTCATCCTTGTTAAGTATAATTTACATATTATATATGGGATAAACAAATATATACTAAGTTATAATTGAGGTGAAAACCTAATCACCTACAGTTTAAAGGGGAAGCAAAGCAAAACTCACCTTGATATCATATATTCTTAAAAAATAAGATCTCTGTGGATTGTCCTTAACAAGACAAGCAACACCACTGCACTTCTTCGACCACATACAATTCCGATCTGCTGCATATAACTGTACCACTGCTGAAGACATAGTCTGCAATATATAAAATTTATAGTCATTAGGTTTAAAATAACATTTAAATGACTACAGCCCCTGCTGACATCTTGAATGCAACCTCACGAGAGCCACCAATCAGAATAACCTAGCTAAGCTGTCCTGAATTCCTGACCCACAGAAAAAAAAGAGGTAATAGTTATTGTTATTTTAAGTGACTACTTTTGAGGCAATTTCTTATGCAGTAATAAATACACAATAGCTATATTAAAAATAACTATTGAAAGCTAACACTCATTGATGCTTAAAATGTGTTGGGAAATGTGCTAAGCACTTTCAAATATAACTCCAATTAATTTTTATTATTATTTTAAAAATAACCTTAGAGAAACTCATGGTTAAAGAAGATAGTTTGCCCAATACCACAAACTTAAGTGACAGAATTGAAATTCCAATGCATATAATTTGTGAGTTCAAATCCTATGTTCTTACTCCCTGTAATAAACTGTTTTCCAATAAGTAAACTTTCCACCAAGTAAACAGTAGTATTAGTAAAGGCTGATTTCAATATAGCACTTAACCACTTTAGTATAGGTACTAAGGCAAACTTGAAAGCAAGCTATGTGGTTACTAATATAGTGCTGGACACTTTTGAACATAACATGCTTAAAGAAAGAGTCTAAGATCTGTTTGAAGACAGTAAAACTGAGGGACAAAAGATTTTAATTGATTTGCACATGGCCACACAGCTTGAAAGTTATATGGAAGATATGAAAAATGACTTTAGTCTCAATTTTTAAGGATATCCCTAACTAGTATCCTTTTAGATGCACAGGAGAGAAGCTAATTAATTACATGAAATGGATACCTTGCCAGGGTGTCCAACCTGCAGCCCGTGGGGTGCATGTGACCCAGGATGGCTATGAATGTGGACCAACACGAAATTGTAAGTTTACGTATAATATTATGAGATTCTTTGTGATTATGTGTCTCAATGTATTTTGCGTGTGGCCCAAGAAAACTGTTCTTCCAGTATGGCCCAGAGATGCCAAAAGGTTGGACACCCCTGCTACAGCATTCAGGTTTCCAGTACACCATATTGCCACCTCTATCATGACTGTATCATGAAATTATGGAAACTTTCATTTAATTCTAAATCAAGTTATTTTATATTATAATCTAGAGTATAACTATTTGATCTTAGTTTCTTAAAAGTAGTACACATAGACACTGGTACAGCACCTACAAATACATAAAAATAATAATCATGTTTTCTAATAGTTTCATTCCTAAACTAGAAATTAAGAAAATAATTTAAAGTATAACCCAAAATGTATTTTAATATGAATATAAAAACACATTTACATGAATATACATTAATTATATTTTTTAAACAGGTCTTTAAATATCCAAAATAACAGATGATCAAGTAGTCATGGTACATCAATTCAGAGTCCAGAGTGCTAACCATTACACTACGGAACCTACTCTCATGGTACATCAATTCAATGAATATTGAACACTGCAGTAAAAAACAGACTACACTAAGGTTTGGAGATAATGTTTTGGGTTACTTAATTATGCCTAGGGAATGCCCCTCTTTGATAAGGGGACAAAGAACAATTATATACAAAAGTCTTTCATAATGATAATAAAGTAAAAAAATGTTGGGGACTGAAATTTCATAGACTTCCCCGCAGATATCAGTGCTCCAAGTTATGTTTTTAACTTTCACAGACCAAGCTCATCTTTGAATTTCACAGACCATCACGAACAGGACACGAAACAGCAGGAAAATGTCCACAAGAACCATTAAAAAATTACAAAGATAGCTTAGAAACTAGGACATTGGGTTTAAAAAAGGAGACTGAAGAACATAGTTATGGCTTTAGTCTTCTCAAAACACACTGTGCTCTTTCCCAGTCCACAGTCTCAGATGATAGCTCCACAGGCTCTTTAACCCTAAACCCTAGCATTAAAGACGTCAAAAAATTTATCCAATGATGTAAGAGATGAGATCGAAGAATTCAAAAATCAGATGAGAAAATCTGTGTTTTAAAGAAAATTCTAGCCCTTTTACTACTGTGCTGTCAAAATGCATTCATTTCTATAAAGAAAAGCAGTTAGGAAACCAGTTACCATTAAAGAGATCTAAAAATCCTCTTATTTTCCTTTTTAACCAAAAAACAATAACAGCTTGCAAAAGAAAAAGAATGGGCTACTAAATAGTTTGTACTTCCATTATGGAAATCCCCTTGCCAGAGGACCAGATATTAACACTGTCTACATGTTATGTGAACTTAAAAATTCTCAAAACAAAAATTCACATTTAAACATTGATATAAATTTAAAACAAATTCTTAAAATATGTGCTTAAGAAACAGGGACCCGAGAAGCAGTTTTACAATTTTGCACACAATCACAGTTGGCATTATAACCTTATTCTAAAAAAATGAACAAATTTTAATACCAAAGAACCCAACTAATTATAAGCAATTATCAGTAACTGGATTTTCAAAACTTTTCTGCACCTTTTGTCAGTCTAAGTATGTTGACTTCATTCCTTATCTAAACTGGCAAAGTCTGAAAATTACATACACATAGCACCTTTTAAAGACTTTTCTGATTAATTCAGGACAATGATAATGAATACAAGAGCAGCTTACACACATAAAATTTAACATATAAATGCTAGAAATAAAAACAGTGACTATCTCTTCAAGTCTAGATTGACAGTGGCTTAATTAAGTTTTTAAAAACATTCCTTCCATTCCTTTAAAGTAATTACAGCTAATCAACTCCATTACCTTCTTTTCCTACATAATCAAGAAGGTATTCTTAAAAAAAATGTAAGAAGAAGCACTTAGAAGAGACCTATTTCTTATTAGCTCTATAGTGTTAAAGTTAAAATTGCTTAACTAAAAGGAAAAACAGAACTCTATCAACCGTTGTAGAAATAGAGTCTATTTTACACAATTTGTTATTACAGTACTGTTATTGCAATAACGCATTCATCTCTAGAAATTTCGCTGTCAAAGGTGAAATAAGATGGAGGAGGATGAATTCTGGGATGTGAATCTATCCCACTGTCCTTTGGCAGGGCTTTTACCTCTCCTGGGTTGACTGTGCACCAGTCAAGAAGTATTTCCCTGATGCCTTAAGTTGAAATCACTGTCTGCTTACCCTTCATGTTTCTAAAGTACCTTTTCGTGCGTCCTTTATAAAAATCTTGTTACATCACATCATACTCTAAAATAGAATAATTTTCTGTATTAACTTATTACCTATTAAATGCATTTTAATTCCCTTAAGTACCTAAATGTTTTGCAAGCCTTTCATTTTACCTTCGCTCCATGTAAGCAAATACTTGTTAAATTAAAAACTGTATTTTCTGATTATGATTATGATAACAAATAAGAAAGTGACTTTGATTTTAGGATATACACCCTGTAGTAGTATAAGAGGGATATAATACTGGCAACTTACCCTCAAGTGACTCAAAAAAACTATGTGTGTGTATATGGAGAAAGAGAGAACCATTGGTAAAATGCTACAAACATTTGGTAAAATGCTACAAACATTTGACTAATCTAGATTAAGAGCATATAAGAATTCTTTGTGCATGATTTGCAACTTTTCTGTATAAAATTATTTTAAAATAAAAACATTTTAAAGCACAAATGACTCATTAAAATATAAAATGACAGTCTGCTTGCGCAGCCATGACGTCCTGGGAAGGCTCTCTTACAGCCATTGCTATCCCCACACGCGTTAGCCACTGCCACAATGACCCAAAACTAAGAAGACTGCCACTTCCTCCAATTCCTTTTATATTATATCTACTTTGTGAGAAGGAACTCATCTTGAAAAAGAAATCACAAACATCCACCGCTTCTGCAGTTAAAATTCCTTCCATATTTTCCAAACACGTACATTAAATAACAGGTCAGAATAAGAATCTGATTAGAAAAATAGAGGTTCATTTATTATTGAGTCAGTTAATGACAGCAAAAAGACTGGAAAGTACCAGGATATGTAGATCCTTGCTTGACAACCGTCTGCCTATAAGTACTAAAATGGCTTAATACTGAGTAACTGTCTGCAATGATTACTATTCTAACAATCCAATAAAAATACACTGATTAAGGGAAATAATTTTTAATAATATAATTTCAATGACTATCCAAAATATGCTGAATGTGAAAATAACAATCACATGACTTAATATTGGTTTGGCCAAAAAGTCCGTTACTTTTTTCTGTATTATTTAGTAGTGCTTTACTGTCTTTAACTTCATTCTAAACAATTTTGTTAAGTTGTATCATGACGGTGGTCATATTAGCCTGCAGTTAAAAAAAAGTATCAAAATTGGTGAATTTCTGTGCAGCTATAGGTAACACTTTTGGCATATTATACTTTATTATTTCAAGAAAGGTATAGATGAAACTGAAATGTAAGAAAAGATTTGTGCAGTATATGGAGAAGGTGCTGTGACTGATCGATCCCATCAAAAGTGATTTGCAAGGTTTCTTGGCACTACTAACATTTTGGCCAAATAGTTCTTCACTGTGGGACTGTCATACTATTAGAGGATGTTTAGCAGCACCCCTGGCCTCTACCCACCAGAAGCCAATAGCAGGGGATAGCTGACATATTCAAAACATCCAAATCAATAAAGTCACTGGTGAAAATGAAAACCATGTCTTCTATTTTATGGAAAAAAACTAAATGGACTTTTTGGTCAATCCAATATATAAAGTCTTCTATGATTATAAGGGCCTAGATTAACGGCAAAACATTCCAGCTTGTGTGTGTGTTTATGTGTATATAATATATATGTATGCCCTCAAACTTCTAAAATCTATTCTGGGACCATCCATCCTAGGTTTTCTCAGATAAAAGCTACCTTTCAATATGTTCCTGGACACTGTAACAGAGTACTCAAATGAAATGTCCCATTATTATCCTGAATATGGAGTTTTGATATAAGACATTATAAAAGGAATTGTAACACTAGAAATTAAATTGTTTGCATCTTA